TATTGTTCAGTGTTATAAGTATATTTAAAGAGTTTATATGTTCTCAATTTACAACCAGTACTATATGAAAATATTCTTGTACACCAGTCTTTTTTATATCTATCAAACATTTTCTCTTCTAACTGAGATATACTATAACTATCAAGAAAATTTTCATTTATTTTACAATATCTTTCATCTTTACATTGATGACCATTGTTGTCAAAAAATATTCTCACGACATAATCTTAATCTTAATCCATAAATATTTCCGAGTAACGCTAAAACGACTAATAAATGTCTCTTATAAAATTATTTGAAAATAGTTCAAAATCTTGTTTCCAGAACAAAATGCACTTCTTGCTTAATAAAAATATTGAAACTTAATTGCTTATGCGAAATAATTAATTTTGATACCAAACACGACATAAAAAGAAGAAAATGCTAAAATTCACAATTCATGCATTTTTACAACATGACAACTCTCCCAACACCCCTCTAGCTTCGGACCCCGAAGCTGTATATATTTTTGACATCAACATCTACATTTGACATAAACATTTCTCAATTTTTAGAATTTGGCGTATTATTTTTTTTAAAACGATTATGCGGACGAACCCCAAATACATAAACGTAAGTGAGAACCATTTTCACGAAAATAAAAACCAAGTTATATACAAAAACAAAACATCGTCTATTTAATGCTAGGTTTTGGTCCGTTGAGGTCCGAAATTCATCTTAGGCAGGTCCCTATAACCTCCTTTAAATTTCGACCCGGACAGAATACCGTTTACCACTTTCAATAGAACAATATCTTGGTCAAAGTTATCAGAATGCCCTCCTTAGCTTTGAATAACCTGTCAATTGCTTCAATTAGCTTTGTGACAAATACAAACGATATCAAGTTTTGTTTTCTCGTAGATTACAAGGTGCGTGATCATGGATTTTAAATCGCTCGTCTTCATGAATTAAAAAAATAAAAATTGATTGCACAAAAATTTATATTGATTTTGACTGAGCTTATAAAAAATTCTTTTAGTTGATCAGACTACGTTTAGCACTATAAACATCAAGAAAAAGAAACAATAGACCGGCTATAGGACTTCAACAAGATACGAAATCGTTCAATCAAAAGCAATAAAATATGCAAGTGTGAAAAAAAATGTAAATTATAAAGCAAATGTATTAATATAAATTCAAACTGAAGTTCAATACAAGTGTGAGTAATTTCAAATAGTATCTCATTTCACAATTAAAATAGAACCGTCTTATCTTCATACGGCACATCACATCCATGGTAGAATCCACCATATTGTGAATACAAGTGGTCACATCCACTTTAGCAAATAAATCACAAGCGGCAAATCTTGAGTTGTTCGTGGTCATGGTCGAGGAATGTCATGTATTTTCGATATTGCTGTTCGTTGTTTATGGTCGTTTAAGCAAAATGTATGTCCATATTTTCACAATAAAGGATTGGGGAAATAAATTTCGAGTTACTGGCATCAAGTTCTTCAATTGGGACACTCATCTTGGCAGCGAAAGGTAGCACAGGATCGGCACTCATCCTCCACCATTTGACGTGATTAGAAAAATCATTGTTTGGCGTAATTAACATAGTTGATTATAAAATGGTGTTTGTTTCGTTTGTGTGTTTCGTTTTTGGTAAATCCATTCCATCATAGATAAATAGCAGTGTTTAACAATCCAACAAACTTAGTCCAATTTCAGATGACAAGGTTTCATACTGGGAAGTTGTTGTATATCAATAAAGAAGACTGGATACATGAACGTTCACATACTTTATTTTTCCATACAACATATTTACAGTCAGTTCATAAAACATATTTACAAAGCAGTAATCGTGGCAACATACATTAACCCGCCGCTACTCACAGATCGAGAGCGGGGCGAACGTATGCGTCACATGGTTCTCTCTCTTTTCTCTGACTCCCTTTTTTTTCAAAATTAACCTTTATAAAACATATGATCATAGAAACGTTTTGACCAATGACAATGGAAAAAGGTACTTATAAACAAATAGTTTCCAAACAATGAAATATATAAAAAAGCAGATTAAATTAAGTGTTAAATGACACTATTCACTCCATATACAGTTCAATTCAAATCCAAACACGACATGAAAAGAAGAAAATGCTAAAATTCACAATTTTACGCATTTTTACAACATGACAACAGTTTTTTTCATCTCTCCTTTATAATTCATATTTTGGTTCGTGGACCCAAATTTAATAATGTAACTTTATCAGATCATCTAGTTTCTTATATTACTTTAATACCGTAACAGCGTAAAATATACTTATTAGTATAACGACAGATACGAAGGCGGAAAAAACAATAGTTACTTATTTACACATGATACTAAATCATCATAAGATTCAACCGTTAAAAATTACGTAGTATTATCATTTGTATCTCTCAACTACCTATTGTTCTAGACCCTCATGGATAGTCCAGGTCGCTAAACCCTCCTGTACTAACTGATAACGTGTAAATTGCATTTAAAATTTTAAAGTACGAATTCAAATTTTAGTACTCAGTGGTATCATCAGCTCAGTGCCGAATGCTTAACACTAACATCACCTGCTTCTTGTGACGGAGTTGAATATTCAATATTTAAATGTCAATTTTTCAACTTTATTGTTCATAAATTCTTTTTATTTAATAAAAGTTCTTCAAAGTTCGCAAATCACGTTAGGAAGTATGCTGAATATATGGAAAACTTGAATTAAAAAGGACATATTAAGTACGTTAAAAATAATGAGATTTGTCAATAGATAAGCTTTCAATGAGGTTTACAGTCTCTGGTATTATATGTATTTTCAGAAAGTAACGTATTCTTTATAAAATGTGTAATATTCCCATTTATATGGTATTTTACTAAAATGCATGGTTTAAATAATTGATAAAATACACTCTTTAGACCAATTTATTTTTTCAGCTATGAAAATGATTTGAAAGAAGCAGAAGATTTTCAAAATTTGAATATGCACACGTTTCTCAAAAGAGGTCAATTTAGTCTGTTTTCTTTCAGTATCTTTAAAAAGTGGTTTTCAGAACGAAAGGATTCATGAGTAAACCGACTTTGTCCAATTTTACTTCCAATAACTATATTTGACGATACCGCCTTCTATGGCGTGGACGGCATACCACGCAGATGATGACAGTTGTGAGGCATGCGATCGCCAAAAGAGCACCAATGACTATGGCAATGATAACACCAACTGCTAATGCTAATACGCATGTTAATTCATCGATGCCATTTCCGCAGTTGTTGTATCCATTGCATGCCAAATTTCCAGGAATACAAAAGTCATTTTCACAGTTCAATTCGTTTCCATGACATGCTCCTACAAAAGAAATTCAGTCCTTATTACGATTCAAAGAGATACAGATTTACTATATGTTAAGTAAATCAATCTTCAGTTGGATCAGATAACTATAAGGTTTGTTTGTTTGTTTGTTTGTTTGTTGGTATTTGACGCCACTTTTAAGAACCTTAGCTATAATGGAGGCCAGTTTTTTTTCTGTTGCTGGATGAACCTTGAGTTCCCAGACAGAACCATCGACCTTTTGCATGAAAACTTTGGCAATACGCTCATGTCAATAAGGATCATAGTCGAACACACTTCACTTCGAAAGTCGAACTCGTTCACCTAGTATAGGTCCCAAAGTATTAAGTAATGTTACAGTCAGTTTGTATTATTTGTTACATCAGCGAAAATTGTCACAAAAAATAATCATACGATAAAAATTGATCATTAGTTATACTAAAATGTTCAGGAATTACAAGTATTTTTACTCGTAGGATAATTTTTTGTGTGAAAAGATCCACTGGTTTGTTCACTGGTAATTATAATTTACTGAAGTATTCTCTTTTTCAAACTGATGATTATTGCAAATATTCATTCAAAGCTTTGTATATAATGTTCATCTTGCAGAAGATATAGATATCGTTAGTTACCGCGAGATTTGATGTCTAGCCTATTTGTTTCAAATTCATACAAACGAAGTACGAGATGTAAATAGAATTAGGAATAGAAATTAAAATAGAAACTAAAAACGCACGGGCGAAATACTCAATCGTGAGTTGGTGGCCTCAAACTCAAGTGATAGGCTTTGCATTTCGAAAGTATTATTACCATTTCAAATAATTAACAAAAAATTATTCATTTGAATTTGAATTTGAATTTCTTTTATTTGATCAAATATTACTTTAGATCATGTGAAATATTGCACGTGTATATTAGTAATTGATTGTATGTTACTTGTTAACGTCAAGTGGCAATTACTTTAAGGGTGCAGAGAGCGTAGCATTGACCCTACACGAGGTATCGGATTAAAGTCTCAATTCCGATCGAACGTAGCTGCGAATTTATACATCACGCACTGCCAAATGGACGCCAAACTTCGGCAAGGGCTTTACTACCAGAAAGGACGACGTTCAGGTGACCATATTTCTATACCCAAGTCAACACTTGGAGCTTTGAATATGTACGGTTTTCTCGATTTATTTACATTGTATTTTTATTTCAAAAGCAGTTGTACTGAGAAAAGCGAAGATACCAATGAGGCAATCGAAATATCATCAGTCCAATAAAAGCAGACGACAAAAAAATGAAAGCGACGAAAGAGCCAACAACAATTGCAAAACATTACAAAGGACACGCATGCGCCACATATGATTGAGGTTGTAAAGGGGAGCTTTTCTTCCGTGTTTTCTTCTGTGTCGTATAAGCTGCAAGTAGACTTATCGTAAAAGATTTTAAGTATTCATTTTATAATTCTAAAAAAATAAAATGTATCTGTGTAAAATTTTACTATTCTCAATACAAATCTACGCCGATTATTTGTTATTCAAAATATGGCCGAATACTCTTTTACTAACCGATTTATGTATGCAAACCGACCATCCCAGACCCTTAGAACGAGATCGTTCAACAGCAAGTAGTAGTAGTAGTAGTAGTAGTAGAGTAGTAAGCGAACAAAAGTGAACAAACCTTTTTTAGCTTTTCTAGCCGACGTTACCAGTAGAGTGATTGTAGCTGTGCCTTTTTTATCATGGACGGTAAACGTCATATTCTGTTGCGTGGAGTTGTACAAATCTTTTTTAACAGAGCCACATAACCCGTTTGGACCTGTAAGTGATAAGTTTCATGGTTATGCCAATGGGAAGACTATTTTTGTAACTATTAAATTTGTAATTGGTTTTGTATATGAATGAAAAGATGTGTATGGTAAATTACACAACAACAAAACGACACAAATACTAATTATAAAAACCATTTTTTTTTTACCTTAGATCTTCAGTCCAAATTCAAAGATTCCTGTTCGCCGCAGTTAGCTTACAATTGCTTAATAAAATCGAAATAAAACAGGAATTGGATTTACTACGAAATCAATGAACACACTTGATGACCGTCTGACTTCGGCTATTAAATTGCTGTGTGAGACGTTAAACATCCAAGTCTTACTATCTAAGGCTTGATGGGTATTATATAAAACACTTTACAGGTGCCCGTGAAACTTCAACGTGGTTCGGACAATGTCAAAATTTAGACGCCATTTTTCAGATACAATGCAGTTTACTGCTATACAAATGGTTTTATGTTATTCTTTAATTTTGCATAAAAAAACTTATTCGCTAATCCCGTGTCTGTAGTGACGTTATAGCTATCAATAAACGTAATTTATTCATCGCTGGTAAATGATAAAGTCATGGATTTCGTTAACACAAAATAGATACATAGATTTGTTTTGTAAATTTTCTTTTCCCTGTAGAAAACTTATTACAAACGAGATATCACATCCTCATTTTTACTTGGGATTTTGTTCATAGAGCCCGTAAATTTAGATTCGATACATGTAAACTTATCGATCTTTGAAAAAAATTATTCTAAAATGATATCAATTTAACAGTGTTATGAGATCTTTAAATATTGTTTTTATCGGTACTAAGAATTAGTTTGTTATCAATAGATTAAATCATAAAAATTTAATTTAAAAAAGTCATTGGTACCTGTCAGTGTCTTGTTTTTTCCATGGTCATCAAAAATATCCAAACCAGATTGTCTGCACCCTTTAGAAGAATCAATTTTGAATATGTTCAAATATACTAATACACGTGACGATGAGTTTGGATTTAAGACAAACACTGTGCATGCACGGCTTTTCGACAAACGATGCGACTTGTCTATTACGAATAGAATATCTCCCTCTTCTGGTATTGGTACAGTTTTGTTGCAAGTTGATTTAAAGTATTCTGAAATAGATACAGAAAAATAATAAAGGTTACTGCAAAATTATGTTTGTTGAAATGGCGAGTGTCTATATACTTTTTGTTTCGTTTGGCTAGGTATCAAGATTTCAACTGATCGCTTCTTGTCGCCAGTTACTTTTTGTGTAAATTTTTGAATGCCGATATTCCAATCGCAGTTAATTCATCGAAATGATATAGGTTTCAAAAAATGTTAAATGGCGCATTCTAGGGGCAGATATTTCCCGTACATTTCGTATGTCACAATGCTTATCTTATTACGTCACAGTAAGAATTGATTGTTCAAGGACGTCATTTACCTCGCTTGACCTAGGGTCAAACGGTGTAACTCATTGATAAAAAACAACACGCGATTGGTGTCATAAGTTGCACGTTTCGTGCCCCCCTAACCTCAAATACGGGATCTATACCTGATACCACATAGGAATATGAAGTGAGATAAAACGCACATGTCTTACTGACTCAATGCATGAGGAACAATTTTTTATTTCTGTTAGATATATATAGGGAGAGAGATGTATGAACCACGATATTACTATTGATATATATATAATTATATATAGATATAAACGCCTAAAAAGTGTACAAAACAACACCAATATTAAAAAAAAAAAAAAAACATAAAATGTAAGTATCTATAAATATTTCGGATATCAGATATCCTTCATCAGTATGATTATGATGTAAAATGAACCATATCAATCTATTTTGATTTAACTACAACAATCTTTAAATTTATACAATTAAAACAGAACACCGCTTGTACAATTCTAAAATTTAGAAAATGACGTAGGTTAGGTATTTACAACAGAGACTGCATAGATATGCTTCTAACAAAAATAGTAATATGCGATATGAACTGGTACATTTCTAAAATTACACAGGTAAAGAAAGTTGAGTTATTACAACAAAGACTGCGTGGAAATACATTCCCAATGAACAGCAGATCATACTGTTGAAGGATATCTGTTACCCGAAATATTTATAGATAGTTACATTCAATGTTTCCTTATTTTTAATATTGGTGTTGTTTTGTATACTTTTAGGCGTTTAAATCTATATATAATTATATAAGAAAATTAATATAAGATAATGACGGTTTCAATTCATCACTTTTACTAGCGCTTTCACTGCTTTCACAGATCTTAAAATGTTTCGTAAAAATTAAAATAATATTTATCATTCAATCCCGGGTTGAGAATGTTTATGAAGAATTCTTCTTTCTTCTTCCGGAGAAAATCATTTTGACGATTGACCATATACAACGGAAATATTTTAAATCGTCCATTAGAACAACGATGAAAATTGTCATAACCCCTCAGTGATGATTGTTAAATCTTCATGGTTGGTTTGCTGTCTATGTACAGTCATTCTAGTCCGCAGTTCTGTTTTTGTATATATATTATTATATATATATATCAATAGTACACAATGTTCGGCTCATAATATATCACACAAGTAAAATTTCAAAGACTAAGAATTATATAAACAAAAAGCTTACTCGTTTGAATTGAATTCACGTTTGCAACTACAATCAGTGTAATAAATATGCACAAAACAGCCATCTTATTTCTTCCTCTTTGTGCATAATGAGGAAGTACTAATACGGAGACACTGTGAATCATGTGATATCAATAGGTCATATTAGTATCTTTTAAAAGTCTGGTAAATGGAGAATATGCCAGCTAGCACTTCCTTTTTAACTAAAGTATCTAATCTTCGATTGGTTGGAGTTTTTTTTTTACCTGAACTCACTTAATTCACAATGGAATCGTTGTTAATCATAAACCACACATTTTTGATACACTGTCACATTTAAATAGTTTTGTACTTATGGACAAGAACTTGTATAGAATATATGATTTGATATAATTATAATTAAGAAAGGATTCACAAGTAGATAACTTACAAAATTAACATTAAGGTTTAATGCCGATCTTAGCTGTTTTTTCAATATAGTATCAATTCAAAAAGGCTTGTAATTGCATACACACAACTACAGCAATTGTCAAAAGAATCAGAACAATACACTTGGTAGGATTATTTTAAACATATTTTATATGCAAAAGTAGCAGAAGGAATTGGACACAAGTTATACCAACATTAGTGACGTCCTTTCTCCTGCTTGATATGAACTGCATACCCTTCCGAATTACCAGAGTTCCTGATTTTACGAGGTTTGTGTTGCTCAATATTACTTTCCTCTGTACAATGTTCTCTTTACCACTTTTTTTCTGTTTGTGTTATTGTCTTTTGATCATAATATCGGCTGTTAAACTTCGATCTTCAGTATCTGATTGCTCTTTGATAAAAATCGTTATAGGGTTTTCAAAAGATTACCTCATTGCAAGACAAGTTACAAGTAACTTGTATTGCGTTTCTTCACAAAACCTTTGCATCATTTGAAAATAAATAGAACGTTTCAGATTTAAGCATTTCGTGCCATAATGAAGCCTCATTTATGGAGAAATAATACGCTGGATATAAATAGCATATTAAAACTAGAGGCTCTCAAGAGCCTGTGTCGCTCACCTGATTTTACTGTGGTTTTGGAAATAATGTAAAAATAGATTAAAATCATAACAGATACCCTAATAATGATTGAGGCCAAATTTGGTTTAATATTGGCGCCGTAATTTAATCAAAAGCAGAAGATTTTTGTAAAGTTTACAGAAATTACCAATAAATTAATTGAAATTGTAGAAAATGACTTTATAAGGACAATAACTCCAACAAGATGTAAATTGACAATTTTGCTCATGTTGACTTATGTGTAGATCTTCTTTTCTTGAAATTTTTGCAGTTTACAGTATATCTCCATCTATAAAGATACATGTATTAAGGTCTTCATCAGCACCTCATAAGGAACATTTATGCCATGTTTGGTTTCATTCCATTTAGTGCTCCTCTAGAAGAAACATTTGTATGTATTTCCCATAGGGTCTTATGTTAAACTAAGTCCCCTGCTGGCGGCAATCTTGGATGTATTTCATATAGGGACCTCATAAGGAACATTCATGCCATGTTTGGTTTCATCCCATTTAGTGGTTCTCTAAAAGAAAACATTTGTGTGTGTTTCCCATAGGGTCCTATGTTAACCGAAGTCCTCGCTGGCGGCCATCCTGAATGATGGATCGCCTACACATTTACAACCATGTTTTATTTCATTCCATTCAGTGGTTCTCTAAAAGAAGACATTTGTATGTTTTTCCCAGAGGGTCCTATGTTAAACTAAGCCCCCCCTCTAGCGGCCATCGTGGATGATTGATCGACTTCAAAGTAACAACACTTGGGGTCAACACCTCATAAGGAACATTCATGCCATGTTTCGTTTCATTCAATTCAGTGGTTCTCTAAAAGAAGACATTTGTATGTATTGTCCATAGGGTCCTATGTTAAACGAAGTCCCGCCGCTGGCGGCCATCTTGGATGATTGATCGCTACAAAGTTACAACACTTGGTCAGCACCTCATAAGGAACATTCATGCCATGTTTTATTTCATTCCATTTATTGGTTCTCTAAGAGAAGACATTTGTATGTATTTCCAATAGGGTCCTATGTTAAACGATGTCCCCGCTGGCGGCCATCTTGGTTAATGAATCGGCTTCAAAGTAACAGCACTTGGTCAGCACTTCATTAGTAACATTCATGCCATGTTTTATTTCATTCAATTCAGTGGTTCTCTAAAAGAAGACATTTGTATGTATTGTCCATAGGGTCCTATGTTAAACGAAGTCCCCCGCTGGCGGCCATCTTGGATTATTGATCGCTACAAAGTTACAACACTTGGTCAGCACCTCATAAGGAACATTCATGCCATGTTTTATTTCATTCCATTTATTGGTTCTCTAAGAGAAGACATTTGTATGTACTTCCCATAGGGTCCTATGTTAAACGATGTCCCCGCTGGCGGCCATCTTGGTTGATGAATCGGCTTCAAAGTAACAGCACTTAGTCAGCACTTCATTAGTAACATTCATGCCATGTTTTATTTCATTCCATTCAGTGGTTCTCTAAAAGAAGACATTTGTATGTATTGCCCGTAGGGTCCTATGTTAAACTAAGTCCCCCTCTGGCGGCCATCTTGGATGATGGATCGGCTTCAAAATAACATCACCCGGTCAGCATCTCATAAGAAACACTCATGCCATGTTTTATTTCATTCCATTTAGTGGTTCTCTGAAAGAAGACATTTGTATGTATTTCCCATAGGGTCCTATGTTAAACTAAGTCACCCTCTGGCGGCCATCTTGGTTGATGAATCGGCTTCAAAGTTACAACACATTGTCACTTGGCCCTTCCTGCCAGGTGAGCTAATAAGAAGATGTAGTATAATTGCCAATGAGACAACACTCCACCAGAGACCATATGACATAGAAGTTAACAACTATAGGTTACATTCGGCCTTCAACAATGAGCAAAAACCCATACCGCATAGTTAGCCATAAAAGGCGCAAAATGACGATTGTAAAACATTTCAAACGAGAAAAATAAGGGCCTAATTTATGTCAAAAACAATGAACGAAATTCAAATATGATATACAGCAACAAACGACAGCTCCTGACTTGGGACAGACACATACAGGATGTGGCGGGGTTAAATACGTTAGCGGGCGTCCAACCCTCCCCCTTACCATGAAACAGTGGTGTAAAAGTACAACATATAAACAAACTATAAAAATCAGTTGAAAAGGGTTTAACTCACCAGATCGATACAAAGCAGAAAAACAAGTAACGAAAATACAGACCGGACGTGACAAGGTATATATACATCCCTAAAACAAAAATAGACACCAAGTACAGACCTGAGAGTACTCACAGTTACTGACAGCTAGGTCAATGCCAATAACAACTAATAAAAAATCGTGTATCTAAGACTAAAGCAAGAATGTTTCAAGCTTTTCCTTGTTTAAGAAACCTCTTAATGGTGACTTTCTAAATTCGTATGCGCTTTTTTGAATCAGGGTTTCGACATGCTTATATAACGTTTTGCCAGCTTTGAAATTAAGCTAGTAATCTAAAATATCACTTGTTCAAGTCACATTTGTCTGACAGATCTCAATGTGATTGTGGTGATGCAGTGAAGTACAGTTTCCACTCCTTTTGTACGAGACTGGCGTACAAAATCATAAACCTTGTATCAATGATGAGTTTATCAACAATCCCTGGGTCGATTCCAGTGCTGGTGGAGGATTTCTCCCCGAGGGCATCACCTGCCCAGTAGTCAGCACTTCATGCTTTATTTTGCCTTTTTAACGTTTTTGATTCGAGCATTACTGATGAATCTTTTGTAACGAAACTCACGTCTGTCGTACACAATTTCAATCCTGGTATCTGTGGTGAGTAAATTTATGTTTGTCTCCTCTGTATGAGACAACGGATACACCTTTTCCGTGACATCAGTAAGTTTAAAGGTAATCAAGATATTGATATACTCTTAAGTGGTTCACCTGACTAAACAGTATATGAAACTATAGAAATTACTGTTATAGTTCAAGACTACATTGACAGTTATAGTTCAAGACTACATTGACAGTTATAGTTCAAGACTACATTGGCAGTTATAGTTCAAGACTACATTGACAGTTATAGTTCAAGACTACATTGACAGTTATAGTTCAAGACTACATTGACAGTTATAGTTCAAGACTACATTGACAGTACTAGGAGATTCTCAAAATTTGATCCGTTTCACGTTTATTTACCTTTTTGAAAACCTTTTAATCTATTTGTTTATTTTGAATATTTGTTCAGTTGTGTATCTCTCTCTTTCCATTTCACTAAATTATATTTTTCTATCATTCTTACCAGTCAAATTCAATACGAAACATTAAAATTTTTAAACACCTCAAATTATTTGCTTCAATATGGTGGACTGTCTAATATTATATAGTGTTTGACATTTTATGTTTTGTGCACCATGTGTATTAATGTTATGGTCAATCCGCATCAACAATATATCCACTTCGATTCTCATTTTATGGATTTATAGCGATTGCATATATCCAACTCCATTATACTTAAACTTTCAGTATAGTTGGATTTACATAATCCCTGGATTGATTTTCGGTGGGCAGGACTATTTAGATGTATTTTATGTACATATAGTTATGTCGTGTCCTTCTTGTATATTTGGACAGGATTAGTAAATATATTTTGTAATTGTTTTCCAGTCCATTTGATTTGATTATCATAAAATATTTGAAATTTAAAATTTTGATTGACCTGGAATGTCTTACACTTGCCAAGCTATACTTGGCTTATGGGACAATTCGCACATTACTGTGTCAGGGAAAATATTACAAATCTAATTGTTAAATCCACGCAAGCGTTTTCATAATAATTTTATAGACATGCACCATATGGCCATTTTTATAAAGAATAAAAAGAAATAACTGCATGAAAATATGCTTAAAATAAACATTGTGATTTTTTTTTACAGTTTTATTAGTTGTTATTGCCTTTGAACTAACTTTCAGTAACCGTCCCGGGTTAGGGAGCGGGCTGGGCGCCCGCAAACATGTTTGAGGCCACCACATTTTGTATGTGCCTGTCCAAGGTCAGGAGCCTGTAATTCATTGGTTGTCGTTGGTAACTGTTTATCATATTTGTTTTTCATTTATTGTTTTGTACATACATCAGGTCATTAGTTTTCTTGTTTGAATTGTTTTACATTTGTTATTTTTGGGCCTTTTTAGATGGCTATGCGGTATGGGGTTTGCTCGTCGTTAAAGGTCTTACGTTGTAAACGTCAATAGGACATGACCTCAAACATAACAAAATTAAGATATCTATAGTGAAAAAAGTCTTCAATAATAGACAAATGCATATACATGTATATGTCAAGCTCTAAATCTTCTCGACCTTTAACTCGTTTTTCCCAAAAAATTATTTTATAGTGGTCTTTGAACAATAACTTATCAATATAAGTAATTTCTATTTCTGTATTGTTAATGATTTGTTATTCTGTAACTTCGTTGATGCCATAAATTTAATACTTTTATGAAATAATATTAATTTAAAGGATTTTAATACAAAAAATGAACAATAAAATATAAACAATAACGTTCTTTTCCTAATATTGATATCTATAATAATACAAACATTTTTCCAGATCTATAAATACAATAAAATAACGTTTAATTTCTATTTTCCGGTATAACGTTAGTTGTAAAGAGCAATGCAAAACACAAAAATCGATACACAACAACCTCATCACAGGGGAAAAGATAGGAGGGGGGGGGGGGTCTTAACATGGCATTTTAGGGCACAGACGTGCGGCTGGGATTTTGAAAACACCCTTAATCATATATTGAAGTCTTGTGAAAATCACAACTCATAAATATACTTCATATTAAAATCATAACACATTCAAATATTTTGATTTGATTTAAAGGATAAAACAGCATATATACAAATATCTAATCAAAAGATGAAAATTAATGACCCATTGACATTTGTTCGTGGTGAAATTGTAACCCATATAAAGTTGACATTTCAAAAAGGGACCCATTCCAGAGGCACGTATGTGTATACCTTCACAAAGGAAGAAACAACCTGCCCTCGAAAATCAGATACATTTTGCATTCAGCTTGCAACACAACAACAGAGTTCGTCAAACACTTTTTTCCAGTACATTCTTTTATATCCGTGTATATATGTTCCTACGTCGTGGGCGGCAAATCAAGCACATAATTGCTGTCGCGATACAAATGATAGCCAAAATTGTGCCAACTATAATGACGACGATAATGCCCGCAGCTAATTCTACCACGCATGCCAGTTCGTCGATATCGTTTCCACAGTTGTTGTAACCATTACATTCTAGATGTCGTCGGATACAAAAGCCATTTCCACAACCAAACTCACTCTCTTGACATGTACCTAGGAAAAGTAATAAACAGTTGACAACGGACATTTATATTCAATGGTTATTGAAATTAGCTCCTTGAAAGCTTTATCAAAATTTGGTCTATACATGTATAATTCACAAACTCATTATAGATACCAGATTAAAATTTTGTGCGCCAGACTCGTGTTTTGTTTACGAAAGACTCATAGGTGACGATCGAAACAAATAATAGTTCAGATATGAAAACTGTCATAAATGTATAACATTTGTGGTGGAAGGTGGTGTTAAGTAACCGTGACGAAATTCAATGGAAAAAAACTCTTTACTTTGTGGATCAGGATCTGCTTACCCTTCCGGAGCACCTGGCGTTGTCAGTTTATTTTCGACTTATGAGTTTGAATGTTCCTTTGGTATCTTTCGACCCTCTTTTACTCAAAATAAGCAAATGTTACATGTGACTTAATTGAACAATTTGATACTAATTCAAATACATCTAAAGGTTAATACCTGTATGCGCTGCTGTTAACACGACTCTGAAGTTTGATGTTTGGTTCACGTCTCTAAACTTGAAGGTCATGTATTGTTGTGTAGAATTATAATATAAATCAAGACTCTCCTTATTACCACAAACACCATTTGGACCTATAAAGGGAACAAATATAATACTGGTATAATATAAGTAAGTGTTTTATTCAGAGTCACCACATATATATCAATTTAACAATAAAAATGAGCTATAGACATGTATTTAACAAAAAAACTGCCTGTATATGTTAATACATGTAGATATTCTAAACAAAATATGGATCAGAAACTGACTGCTGTTGTAAATTTACTTGTCATAAAGAAGATTTTTAGAACTATTTTGGTATGAAGTATTGCATGTTTTGTTTAGATTTAACATTATGCTAATATATTTCACTCAGATTATCATTAAATATATATATTGTTAAAACGGTCAGACTCTTTAATTTTGTACTTTTCAGTGGAAAGTAGTGTTTTTCTTCTAATTTGTATATAAATCATATATTATTTTAACCAATAAAGCTTGTTTATTTTTTGTTTATTTGTTTAATATCAATTCAAATTTTGGATTTTAAATCAATGGGACTTTGCTTGTGATCTATTGACAAACTGCAGTTAATATAATTGTTTTTAAAAATAATGTTTAAGCCTCATTTAGTAATTATCAATCTTTTATAAATTGGATAGATGTAAATAATTCTATCAGATAGCTGAAGTTTTGTTTTAGAGGCAGTACTGAGATCATATTCATAGTTATTTTTACTATGGACAAGTAATAGAAATACAGAAAGTCAAAACTTAATTGATATTGGTACCAACATTATTATCATCTATGTATATAAACCCATATATCTATGGTATTAGTCTAACCTGTAAGAGCCTTATTTACACTTGTTCCTCGTTCATCATAAATATCCAAACGAGAATTGACACAATCTTTACTTTCATCTGTAGAAAATCTTTCAAAATATGCCAAGACTCTCCCAGGATACTTTGTCATGGGATTGTAAATAGACACAACACATGTCATATTAGGTAAAAGAGGATCTGATGAGGATTGTGTTAGTAACATGTCTCCATCTGTAGGTATTGTTAACATCTGTGAAGGACTACCACATACAGATTTCAATTCATCTGAAAGATAAAATAAATTTCACAGAAAAAGAAAGCATAATAAATATACATATACATGAAAATTGTGAGAAGATACTAAAAGGATCAAACTCAAATCGCAGAGAAACAGTCCATTAATAAAAGGGTCATAAAAGAAATAAAAAGACGAACAAAATAGTATATGAACAATTAACATATGAACCCATGCGTAATATTCTATTTATAGTGTGATATTGTACATAGCTTTTTACTATCTCAAAAATATGTATCTAAAATATGACAAATTGCTGTTAATAGGATTCAATAAGATTGAGAGCTTGATGTACATATGGTATAGACATTTGTCATTAAATGGAAACAATTTGTTGACTTTGACATTTTTGAATGTTTCTTTTTATTTTTGTGTTTTGTTTTGTTTTGTTTTTTGTTTTGTTTTGTATGTGTGAAATGGAAAATAAGGGAATTGCTGACAGAAAATCCCTACACGCACTTGAAAAAATTTTAGTTTTTATTGCTATTCTTCATCCCAATGACATAGTGATAGTGAACTTTCAACAATCAGTAAAAGCTCACACCTCACTGTAAGTTCAAGACGGTCACAAGCACAGTTTTGAGTGGAATATTCTACTTAAGATGTCGACTTTTTTTCTCTCATTTGTTCCACATACGTTTAACCCAACTGTTTTGGTTTTAATTTGGTACTTTCGTTTTGTAAAATTGGTATATACATATTTATAAAGTTTCTTCTTTCGTATTGACATAAACTTACATTTTGTGATAGATGAAACTTCCACAATAAACACTAGTAAACTAATCACCGAGTAGAACTTCGCCATATTTGTCTTCAATTTTTCGTATTTGTTGACTAAATTGGACTTTGATCCGGTTTATTCAACCAGAAATAGTCATGTGAAAATGTGTAATCTACTGTGACCCAGACTGTGACAACTACCTCATATCTATATTCTACCCGACACTCAATCTGTTAAAAAATTTGGAACCATGTGATAATTTGATTGACTTTATCAATACAAACAGGGATTTTGTTTAAAAAAATATAAATAATATCAAACGCGGAAGTGAAAGTTTGACCCCATTTATACTATTTATATAATAATTGTCAACTTGTTACAGCTATTTTTATCTTGTACTGCTCTTTCATTTTCAAGTATAAAATTAAGATTGAACGAGGTAAAGGTTAGCTTTCATTTTAAATTCAGGGTTTATACAAAAATCCAGCTGGAATTATCCCTGGAGACCATGCATGATTGTTTCTGAGATACTGTAAAGGAAAAAACTATAAGATAAATAATTTTGTATTGTGCATAAAATTTTATCAATTAATATTCCGGGAAATAAAACACTTTTCGTATTGTTTGTTAAACATGTGTTGTTGCTTTTTTTAGACATATTCATAAGTATTTTTTGCAACGTATGTGTATATAAACTAAATTCGTTCGAGGTGTAATGTTTATTTTCTAAGTTTTCAGGAACATTGTTTAATCATAATATTTTTTGACCTTATCTTTTGGTAACTGCGAGAACTCTTAGATTGGTAATTTGTGTCTTTGATCTGTTTGTTATTTGTCTTTGTGCTTTAGTACCGATCTTGTTTTTACTGTTTGCTCTTATGTTGTTCTTTCACACCAATGTCCCATGTTAGAGGGAGAAACAAGGGCCTTTAAACATAATTTACCAGCCACATTCTTTCAGTACATTTTCCATACCAGGAGCCTACAATCCAGTGGTTTTCGTTGGTTGCGGTATCCCGTATTGTTTTTCGTTTATTCTTGTAGTATAATATTGATATTTTTTTCTTTTTGAATTGTTTCACATTTTGTCACTACAGAGCCTGTCATAACTTACTATATGGGTTTTACAACGAGGCAATCTGAGTGTCAAGAGTAAACTATAGGTATATTCAACAAGACCGTGTATCGCTGAAGAACACAAAACGCCAAAGGGAATTGTCTGACTATCTGTGTATCGTTAAAGAGTTTTTATTTTGATTAACTTATATGTCAAGTGATGTTTTACATGTGTTATAATATAGGGGAAAAAAACCTAAAACAATACAGCAAAAAAAAAACAAAACCACTAAAAACACACACAAAAAACATACAAGAAACAAAATAAAATTTGCAAAATTTGTGAATATTTTATAGATTGACTCAAATAATGGTGCGAGTGCATATTTTGGCTCATTAAATATTGAAAAAATCAATCTCACTTCTACTTCATTTAACGAGCGCTTCGAATAGTTAAGTTTTTACTGAGTACACATAGGTATCTCCCCTGCTTTATTACAAGTTTGTGTGCTTATTGTCCAAATTTCATGGGATATTTTTAGAAACTAAAATAGAATTCAAATAAGGTCGATCAAATCGCACTATGCAAAACCACTTTGATTTGAACAAAAGTTTTTATTAAAGTGACGTCATCAAATCTTTTATTTTCAAGTAACTACGTTTATTTCATTCCAATGTGCTCCTCTTCTTGCGTACTTGTTCCTTTATTCGTATAGGGCATATTCACACAAGGACTTCTAATGGTGCACAAAAAAATAGAGCATTATTCTTTTACTTCACTTTCTACGGTTTAGACATTATCCTTACATTTAATAGTTGAATACGTTGGTCGCATCTATCCCATTGGTATTCTTGAAGGATACCATAATACACTGATAGTCAGTAATGTCTTCTCATGCCTGATTTGCACATATAAATCAATAATGAATTACTTTCGAACGAAACTTTGCAATAAAAGAGGTAACCTCTAAGAAGTTAAATTGGTTGACTGCTATAGAAAATTTGAGTTACACATTACCTCTAATATTTTCTATTTGTCGTAGACAAATTCCCGTCTTTCTTCCCTTATTTATGCATATCGCCATATTTGTACTACTCGTGAGAACACGGAGGGTGTAACTTTTTAGGCAGTAACTAATAAACCCTGAAGCACCTGCAATTCATTCCCGCTTTTTTTGTAAGTTTTATGTCGCTATATGTGTAGTTTTCTGTTTAACATTTTAAAGACTTTTGACGGTCTTAATCTTTGATTTTTTATATTTGTCACAGTGTTGCCTGTCCGTATTCGAATTATGATTTACCTTCCCCCCTTTGACAGCTTCTTACTGTTCTAAAGAACTTATTCCAGATATAGAAATGAATAATTTCTAATAGAGATTATAACTGTTAATAAATGCCCTAGAGGAGAAAAAATATCTGACTAGAAAATTAAATATATCGTCTTAATTTGACAAATATTTCAAAGAATATTTCTGCAAATAAAGTCAAAGAAATGGTTAAGTTTGAAGTTTTCAAAAATAAATATAAGGAATGTTCAAATTAAAAAAATACACGAGCAGATTATTTTTCTTGTAATTGACGTCAAAACACATGGTGTGAAAGTTCTACAAGTCGTCATTTACAATATAATTGAGGGCGTAAAATGTAATATCTATTTTCGAGATTTTCACACTAGGTGATTCGTGATCAGGTGTTGTCATTGAAATAGAAGCCGATTTATTGACCAATCATTCAAAATCTATGAAGAATAATCCCACGTACAACTTAAATAGGGAAATACAATTCTTTTTTATGAGTGCTTGCAAACCGCTGGAATAAGAACGAAAGATATCAAAAAGTAAGTTGCACATTTTATAATGCTCTCGAAATAGCAAAATTCTATATAAATGCATTATTTTATTTCTTCATATAAAACATGAGACGTTGGATTGTTTTAAAATGCATACTTAGAATTTTTTTATTTCACTTTTTTCATTTTTCTTTATTTTCTTTTTTTCTCTCACTCTCTTTTTGGAAAAAGGGGGGGGGGGGGGGTGATTGAGGTGTATGGAGGATGTTGAATTGTTATAATTTACACGTATTTAAAAAGGCTAATCATAAGAATCAAAAGTGGAATTCAAAATCCCGTTCGATTTAACTAATTATCACAAGATCTTACATGTTGTGAGCAACACAATGGACGTCACTAGAGGAGCAGGAACTTCTTTGTCCTGTGTGACTCCTGTCCGTATTTAAATGGGGCTCGTATCGTCTATCTTATGTATTTTCTTGCTTTTTTACATTCATTATACTTATCGTCTTTTGGCAATATTTTTGTCCGCTTTGCTTGATTTTCGATTGACCCTTCATATAATTTAACTGAAGAAAGAAACAGTAGCATGCAGCCGTAGACAACAAGGATACATTACTACACAACAAAGGACAAAAATGTAAACCCATACAACTACTTACTCATTGGCAATTATACTACATTTCCCATATTTTTATATAACAGTATACGCTTACCCTTTGGATACATCTGGTCTCACTCCATTTGGATACGATACTGCGTTTTTTTTTTACCGCAATGTATTTTTGTTTCACGTTTGTTTTTCTGTTTCTGGACTTAGGTTTCAGCTCGTCGGTACATATGCCACCTTCATATTTGAAAAAGTCTTTTTAGAAATTTTACGGTCGCAATTATTGCTCATTTGATCGTTACTGAGTTTGACCAAGGATTTGTTCCTATTGTCGTTATCACAAACCGGTTCTATCACAAAGTAGAGCTTATTGTCGGATTTTTAATTGTTATGATCAAATTTATGGATGCTACTAATGACACAAGGCGATACATGCTTTACCTATCCGAAACAACTGGCGGCAGTTTTGGTCTAAGTAACGTGTTTTTGTTATGTTTAATAGACTATTATTTGTTTTTTTCTCTTTTTCTTTCAGCTATATTACACTTTTGCATGTTCTGTCCTTTGAATATTGCTCTTTGATTATCCACTTTGTATCTTCTATTTCATCCGCTGTACATTCGCCCGTGTTTACACGGCATTCTTCGCTACATAGAAAAAATTACTGATCAATTTAATTTACTGCCACCATCAAGACAAAGGGTACTGGTGGCATACTAGTGGGGCAGGAACTGCTTACGCCTTTAGAGCACATGAGTTGACACTCTCCTATGGAGGAGTTCGTATTGCTCGTTCATTTATTTCAATGCAGCGGATTTTTTCCTGTCGTTTATGAATTTCGTAGCGGCATCGTGTTGCATGCTTTTCTTCGGCTTTTGATGCTTGATTGTCTCCTTTATATCTTTTCCCCCTTTGTTACCATTTGTTTCCACGAAATAACTTTTCCCAAGGACGTTTATCCATTAAATTTGCACGTTCCCACTGCGTGGCCAGTAATTATAAAGAAGGTGAGAATACATACAAAAACGAATATACAATGGAGGAAATAATATTCCTTGAATCTGAAATGTCAGCAAAATAGGTGAGAACTTTCACGGAAAACTTGAACCTGTCTCTCCACATACCATATAAGTGAGTCTTTCACTAGTTCTTGGACGTCATGGAAATCAAATTATCAATCATCAAAATCAGAACGAGGCGATACTAAAAGGAAACAAAAGGAAGACAACAAACACTTGAGACACAATTATATATCTATTTAAGCAATTGCTGAAAATCACGAATGATCTCATTTTCAAGATCAGCACTTAGACCGGAAAATTCCTATGAACCTTTGTAAATATTTTAATTTGTTGTCGTGGTATGTAAAAACAGATTAAGTTCAAACTTAATTTTACACATTTTTTGTTTGTTTTCCATGTTCTTCGACTTACAATTAATTAAGCCCACCAACTGTTGTGATTCGATCGCAACTGATGAATATATATGAAATTAATTACAAACGTATTATCTATTCAGTTTTTGCTGACCTAATTAGGATATGGAACATCGAAAATTTCTTGAAAACACATGTTGTATCCTTCGTTTTCAACCTTTGCAGAAATTAATGTATGATTAAATCTCATTCGGGAAAACAAACTTTAGACATATATGAAACTTATGTTTGTTTTTATAGACGGGGATCAATAAGAGCTTGTTTATTAGATAAACAGCTTTGTTTGGCTAAGTATGGGCTCTGTTAATTTTTTCTGAGAAAGGTTTGGAACCCTTTCAACTTCCATTGCATACTTTTTTTAAATTATTTTTTACTTCATTAAAATGAAAATGTATTCATCAACAAGAATTTTACAGACAAATATATGCATTGGTAATTAGAGATTTGATGATGATTTTAAGACAAATTTATCAAAGAAGGGTTTTCGCCGATTTAATGTTTTCTATACAAATGTGCATTTATTGTGAAAAAATTGATTCAGTAATATTTCAGAATAAAATGAGATATATGCGTTATATTTTAGATTTTTGGTTATTGTTGAACGTGCCAAAGTTGTATGCAAAACTTTACAAAAATCCGTGACATAGTCAATTTACTGTTCATTGACCTGTATATTTAACATATTGTTTCGCTAGTTAAAACAACGTTTTCTAAATGTATATTTATAGAATGGCCATGAAACACGGTAGCAAACTTGTTCATGCATTGTCCAGCACATCGAAACGAACGGAATCAATAAAAGCAACTGGCACAGAAGTGGTTCATGTTCATACAGCGACATTAAATGGCGTATGTTTTATTACTGAGAAATAATTGGAATTTAATTGAAATGCATTTAGTTTTATCCTGGATGACTTAAATTCATTCAAAGGAACTAAATATTTAGCAAAGCCTTCTTTACTTTAAATATGCTCTCATCGAATGTTGGCATGTAAGAAAATGATAATACATACAGTTACTTACCTTATTTGAAAAAAACAAATTACAAACACTAATGTAAAACAGAGGCGGAAGATAACAATGGGATATTTAAACTCATAAGTCGATATTGCCATGGCAAAAAACGAAAAGCGACCAAAGACAAACAACAGTATGCTGAACACAGCATCATGAACATAGAAAACTGAAGACTGAGCAACACGAACCCCATCAAAACAGGGGGTGATTTCAGGTACTCTGGAAGGGAAAGCAGATCCTGCTTTACATGTGGCACCCGTCATGTTGCTCATGTAAGTACAAACTCAGTGGTAAGTCTAATTCGGCGGTGTCAAATTCGAATTGTTGCAATTTTATTTTGCAACATGGAGTGAGCAAATCAAGGCTGCATCGAACTTTAAATTGTTGATTCTCTGACGGAAACAGTTGGAAATGTTCTTTTATTTAAACTGTTATTTATTGATGTATGAACAAAACGAGATACTGACACAATTCATCTAATATTATTCTTTGTTCAAGATACTTCCAATACGACATGGGAACATAAATAAACACAAGCAGAAGAGGTAAATTGATCCTGAGATTGCCTCCATGATATAATTCAACAGTCTGATTCTTATAAAGTTAATATTCCTTCGTTGTTTTGGAGACAGCTTTGATACCTTAGGTAGCAATATACAGTTAGGAAAAAATAAAAATCTACCCTCATAAATTTTACCATCCCCTTTTCCTTGCTTTCTTACAAATTTAGCTTACTGGTTATATGACATATGTGCATATGTATGTAATACTTATCTTCCATAGATTTGATTTCCTGTAGTTAAAATGGTGGAATATAATTTCTGTTGGTGTATCCATGGCAACAATCTGCATTTATTTGCTATCAAATATTGCACAAATGGGTGTGAAGGAAGATGCCACATATTTCCCCAAAAATTGTTTAAACGTAGAATTTCAACCCCTTGGAGTGATACCTTTTCTGAAACTGTTTACATATATCTATATATATACAAATAAAAGTCATATGTCTTTCGTAAAATTGCCTCAAAAAGTTTTTGTGAAAAAAAAGTGTTTGTAAACATTACAATAATTTCTGGACCTTTGGACGGTTGGGATATGCAAATACGTACAGCTAAACAGAAAATAGCCCAATAAACATGTAAAAAATAATCTTGATGTTCCTATAAACCCACTTTGAAGGCTTAATTAGTCATCAGCTGTCTAAAAATAAATTTTATTGCACAATAACTTTCATATTTGTAAAATCCACAGGGGCCAAAATGCGAAACCACACTCCTAACTGTGTATTGCTACCTTAGTAAAATTTAAGTAAGATACGTGTACCAAGTCAGGAATATAACCGTTGTTTTCCATTCGTTTGATGTGTTTGAGCTTTTCATTTAGCTATTTGATAAGGGACTTTCCGTTTTGAATTTTCCTTGGTGTTCGGTATTTTTGTTATTTAACTTTTTACATTCATTGTCTCCCGACACAAAATGAATAATCGTCAAGCGAAAGACAATACTCAAAACGTTGCTCAAAAACGATTTTGTTTAGAATATTCTTCCTTTCATTGTTTATATAAAAACATTGTGTTCGATTCCAAATATCTACATTTTGACTGGGTGTAAATTCGAATGGCGGGTGATGCATGCGAAGCAGGAGACGTTTAACATGTCAACGCACCCGATTTCAGTCTGTTTGGAGTTCATACGATTCCTTCAGTTTTTGTTTGTTACCTTGATTTGTACCTTTCTAATCATTCTCTAAATTGGTTCTACCTGTTTTTCCTCATTAGGATAAATAAACTTTAGTCTGTAACCTTCTTTCAATACCGGCAAGAAAATTTTGAATATGATATTGTTCAAATTGTAACAGATATATATTTTGATAATCATATGATGTAATACTAGATATAACTTTAATGCTGATTTTAAATAAACATATAATGTCGAGAGTGTTGAGCTTTTACACGATATAGATGCTTACGGGTGTGAGCATGTTGACATGAAAGTACTTTACAGTTCCTTAAGTCTTAGTAATACATGATATTCTACTAAATGGTATAACATAACAAAATTGAACAGGACCAATATTTTTTCATGTTGTAGTGTCCATTCAGAAAAACACATACACTACAAACAAAAGATCCAACGACTTCTATATCTCAAAACAAAACCCAGCTGTTTGAAGATATTCCAGGGCCTAAAGGGCTGCCAATCGTGGGAACTTTGTTTGATTACTTTAAAAAAGATGGACCTAGATTTAATAAAATGTTTAAAGTAAGTACTAATAATTGATTCTTAAGTTTTAATTTGATAATATCACGTGATATTCTTTTCTTGTAAAAATATTCTTTTTTTATATCAAGACACACATGCCTTGTTTCATTGGTTATTTCATTTGTCTTGATTATTTCATATCCAATGAACCAAGTAAACTGTAACTGTTTATCTTGTGTAAAGAACAAACTTCTGTCCGAGGAAAGGGATTAGGTATCTATAAAAATAATAAAATCTGTTATGAATTATCACTTAAAGTATATCTGGATGATTTTTACAGTCCTACCAACAAAGAGCTTTCGAATATGGACCAATATATAAAGAGCAAATAGGAGCAATATCAACCGTAGTAATCAGTGACCCTCTTGAGTACAACAAGGTAATCCGTTCAGAAGGGAAATATCCAAACAGAAGAGAAATGGAACCAATGGCACATTATCGAAGGAAAAAGGAAATTGGACTAGGGCTGGTTAATGCGTATGTATACTGAATGAAATACATACATTTTGATTTGATTTGGATTTGCCAAATGCGCGTATGAATTTTGTCGCGAACCTTTACACCATATTCCTTGCTTTCCATTTCATCGACCGAGTTTGTCTCTCGTGCTGTGTGGGGTCATAGAACCTAGAACTTGTTCTCGTTACGTACTTAGTTATATGTTATCATATTTGTACAATTATGAAGTACTTTCTCCTAGCTATCTTCTCTTATGTGTACTACTGCAGTTTTTTTTTCTATTTCGGTCTGAATTCTTATCGCAAATGTTAATCAATTCATCTCAACTATTTTGCCTATGAATACAATATTTCCCGATGTGTCCCGTGTTCGCTAATTATGATAGTATTGGTTAGATTTCTTTCCCTGTAGTACAATATCCTAAATATGTGTTCTACATAGCACAGATCGATAAGAGTTTTGATAAAACCCGTTCAAGTGACCGTCTTTGATTTTTTATGAGGTGTGAGCTTTTTTTCCTTGTCAAAGGCCTCACATGAACTATGTGATCAATAAATGTGATATTTCATTGCTTTCACTTTTTTCAAATGCATGTTAGAACTTTGTCGTTGCTTAATACACAAAATTCCTTATTTGTAGGGAGACTTAGACATACAGGAACTTCTAAAATGAATGAAACAAGGCTAACGTTAACTTAAACTTCAAGTTTCAATATATTCATTATATTCTCTCAATCATGAAGTTTGGTGACTATGTTGATTGCATCTATCCCTTTACAATCAAAATAAAGGTAACAACAGATGTGTTAAGTCTACTACATATCTCGAATTACATCTAGATATTGTAAATTAAAGAAGATCAGTTGAGAAGTAAACATTACAACGCGATGATTGTTATATTTTTTTCACTATAAACTTCTAATTAAGCAATACTAGTATTCACAAGCACCATTAAATGAAGAATTTATTTCTTAGTTGATGTGTCTGTTTGGTAGCATCTCCTCCTAAAAAATCTTTTGAACATCGGTGAACTACTATTGCGTATATTAAACATTTGTTAGATTGAAATGAAATATTTCTGTCTATACCATTTCATTTTTGAATCAGAATATTTTTTTAGACTTTCCGTATGAAAAGATGCAGTTTGCAATACGAATACAAAAAATACAAATGCGGATAGGAGGGGACTGTGACTTTGTAAGTTCCGCTCGTTAGTTATTCATTTGAATCAAAAGTTTATCAATTACACGTTTGTTCCCTCAGTTTTAGTTTGTAACCCGGATTTGGTTTTTTTCTCAATCGATTTATGAATTTCGAACAGCTGTATACTACTGTTGCCTTTATTTTTGAGGTTGATGCTGCTTTTGAAGTGAAATAATTAATATCCTTGCCTAAGATATTGTCAAATATGTGAGATGAATGTGGATCTTCAATCAGCTTTATGTTATGAATAATAAGAAGGTACACATCAAGTTAAAAAAAATGAGGGAATCGCATAAAACCAAAACTCGGGGGATCGCATGATCTCTCAAGGAGCGAGACCAGCTACGTCGACAGAGTGAACGCCTCCTGCTATGCATGTATCACCCGCCATGCGAATCCTGACACTCAGTAAAAATGTTACAATCGGGAATAGGAAACAATCGTTAAATCAACAGATCAGACGACTATTCTGGCATCTAAATATCTATGACCCCGAAAACATGTCGACAATTACGGGGTTGTACCAGCTGTGCCTTTCCAAAATCAGGTGCTTTGTCACGTCCGACATGTCTGTATCCTAAGAGAATCTACAATATACTTGATTTCCGCCTATTTTTTTCATTATTAATTTAAATCATACATATATAGACAGGGAGAAGAGTGGCACAGACACAGAACTGTGGTCAGTAAGAAAATGTTGAAAATGAAAGAGGTGTTGGCATATTGTGAGGGATTGGACGTAGTAGCAGAAGACTTTGTAAAACATCTTATGGCCAGGCTTGATGAAAAATTCGAGGTCAAAGGACTAGAGACAGATCTATTCAAGTGGTCCATGGAATGTAAGCTTAATACCTTAATTGACCTATCAGAATTTCGGGTTATACCACTCTCTACTAACTATATTATTACACAGAAGTTTCCCCGTAACTTAGCTTTAATAACTGATAATCATTAAAGTCAATCTTTTGAGAATATGAAAATTAGTCATGATAAAAAAAAAAACTAAACCTTAAATATATCCTACAATAAAATTGCACCACATGAAATTATTATAGATCAATGGGAACTTTTCAAAATCAAATTCCAAGTTCTGAAAAGTATACTGCAGATTAAAATTCAGGCAGGTAGATTAATAAAAGGTCAATATTATTAGTTCTTAAATCAATTCCAATTGTTTCCATTATTAAATACTGCAATCATTTTTGTACGTCATGTTTTTCAAGAAGAATATGTTAAAACGAAACTACTTAGCATACAACGCCAGTTATACGTTTCTTCTTCTTCATTTAAATGTTAACTAGCTCCAATGTTTAAAATGTGTAGTAACCAATTTTAAATAAATTATACGTTTGTAGCTTACTGTACCAAGTCAGGAATATGACAGTTGTTTTCCATTTGTTTGATGTGTTTGATCTTTTGATTTTGCCATTTGATAAGGGACTTTCCGTTTTGGGTTTTCCATGGAGTTCGGTATTTTTGTTGTTTTACTTTTTACATGTACATATATAAAGTTATGTTACGTTTCTCCTTCTGAAATTCTGTAAATTAAATTTTACCAACAATACCTGTATTAAATGATGCAATATTTCAGCAATAGGAATTTAAATTTTATCCACATTATCTAAGTTTTGTAATATTTTAGCAATAGGAATTTTTTTGTTTGACGAAAGAATAGGATGCCTTGGAGATAGAACACCACAACAGGCCCAAGACTTTATCATAAATCTACATGGTTTCTTTAAACTGATGCAGCCGTTGATGTACAATCTGCCAATATATAAATTATACCCCACTAAAACATGGAAACAGTATGAACAATATACAGACAATATCCTGAAAATAGGACGATCTTATGTAGATAAGGTATTTATTTAATGACATTGATACCTACAGAGTAAGCAACATTTAAGTTATCGACAGCGCCAATCATTGTTTATTGAATGTTATTATGACCGAGCACGCATGCTGATATGGCGTAAAGTGCTTAAATTTGATTTATATATTATGAATCTATAAATTGTAGAAAGATGGAAAGAAAACACATGGTCATGATGTTTTTATTGTTTTCTTTCATGTTTTTTTGTTTCTAGTGTTTTCTCCACCCAAAAAGTATAAAAAAAAATTCCACATTGTTCAATTATCTATTTTGAATCATATAAAGAGACAAGATGTACATAATAAAATCATACACAAGAATCGCGGACAGCTCAGCTGGATGGCTTTATCAGCTACCACACAGAGAACCGTAATCATTGAAAATTTTTTAACGTTATTGTCTATGGGGAATTATGACCACTAGCTAAATAAACGAATACTATGTCTATTTTATAAATCTCATATAAAATAAATAAATTATAGAGATCTCACCACTTTTTTAGCTTTGAAATGGTGTAATAAAATCCACTTTATCTTGATATTTACTGGTGTCCCTATCATGTTGAAAGTCGGGTTCTCTTTTGGTTGAGATGTGTTAAATTACGAGGTATCCATATTTTATAAAAAATCATATTAAATTCATTTTTTATTGTAAATCAAATTAACAAATTATACAGTATTGGCAAATAATTTTCCTATCAAATGGTATAAGAATCGTCATTTTAAAATAATGTTTACTGTAGTAGTAAATGAAGTAAATGCAAGTATTTTGAATGTATACAGTAAGATATCATAGCATCAAAATCATTGTTAGGATATGCTATCTTTATGTTCTCCTTCATACATTAATCTTATTGTTTAGTACAAGGATTTGTATAGTACTATACAAATCCTTGTTTAGTATATTCATAAAATGTCGTTTAATAATACAAATGACGAAAAACATCGAAGTCCTTTTTAAGAAAAGCTCCATAATTATCGATCTCAGCTAACATATAAACACGAATGTGTCAATATTTACATAGTATATTGTATAAGCGTCCCATGGTGCCACGGCAAATCCTTTCCGGTGCTGTATCACTATTCAATACCATATGTTACTATTTTATCTTATCATTTAAGTATTATATTGAAAATATAGTAGTCCATACACAAGAGCTTGTTGGGAGACCCCCTTTTTTTTAATTTTTTGCGGTTAATCTATCAAAATAGTCTTTTCACATCAGCTTTTTTACCTTGTCTAAAGTGTTCAAACTCTTATCAATGCGATTTAACAATAATAATTTATGTATGTTGCCCTCTATTCTTATGTTTACGAGTATTCTACACATACGAATATAGGGTAATACATATAAACTAATTTTATAAAGTAAAAAAAAAATTGAGATACGGCTGAAATATGAACGAATATTTTCAAATAAGATTAATTACAACAAAAAAATAATTATAAAATTAACTAGACTAAGTGATGCCCCGCACTTCACTCTGACTGTATCATTACAAAGATAATGTAGAACTTTATCTGAGATTTAATTGTGTCTGGGAGACACAAATGATGCCCCAGCAGATGCAAAGTGTTATTTTAAAATAACTTCAACTATCTCTCAAAAGAGCAAATATTAAACCCTGACCACATGCACACCTTCAATATATGTACAAACCACTAAACTTTAAGAAGAAAGTCTGCGGTTTTATTTACTGATATCTATGTCTAATTAAGGGTAGTGAATTATTTAAGTTTTATGTTCCTAGAGGACAGGAAAATATTACAATTTAATCCACAGGTGTTAAAGATTTTACGTGTTACCTAGTTCAAATAAAATCCAGCATGGAGTATACATCTGGCTTATACAATGTCAATATCGAATACATGTGACCTACCCATATCAAATAAAATCTAAAATTGACATTGCCTTTCTGTAGCTTTTATTTATATGTTTTATGAGATTTCAACCCTCCCTCTATACCTCTAGCCTATGTAGAATAAACAAAACACAGCAACACGCACAGTAAAACTCAGTTTAAAAGAAGTCCGAGTCCGATGTCAGAATAGATAACAAAAGACACTAAGCAAAATGACAATGATACATGATAAATTAACTAAAGGACTACTAGCAATAACTGACATGCCAGCTCCACACTTCAATTAAACTGATTGAAAGATTATGTCTTCGTCATATTCATAAATTGTCTATCCTTTTCCAGAATCACGTTGAAGAGTTAAATGCTATTTTTTTTTTGATATAAAACATAATCTAGATAATACTCAAGCCTACTCAATTAAAAAGAAATATACAAGGATAGATCAGTTTGCCTGTGGCTTTAAAATGTTTCTTTTATTGAACTTGTTAAAATCAGAAACACCGATGATAAATTATTTGGACTATCTTAAAGCTTCCGAAAAGGTCGTGTGTAGTATAAACAGGGTTACAAATTTCATACAATAAGAAAATTTACTAGATTAAGAAAAAAAAATTAAAAAAAGTATTGATCAAGAGATATACATATGTTATAAATATAGGAAATATAATAACATGTAAACGTATCTCTTTTGAACCATCCTTAACAGAAAATATTCTTTCTACATCATAGGGCATGCAAAACTTTTCTTTTTTAGATTATTTCTTTTCTATCGGCAATTTCTTCATCATTCATCTGTGTATAGTGTACGCGGGGTTTCTTTCTTAAATCCAACTGCGTTCGGAATTATCGTAAAACTGCTAATATCATAAATTACCCTATAGGCATAACGTCAAAGTGACATCTATTGGCGGGGTGTTCGTTTAGGGGAGTTATCTATTCTTATCTACTGGTCACCAGACAATGAGAACAAGATGGGAACCAGAATAGAAAAGTAACACGAGTTATCTCGCCTTGAAATGTCCGTAATTCTTGTACATTAGGAAAAAGAACCGTGAAAGTAAAAAGTAAAATCGAGACACACTGGTCCACAAGACATAACAGAGAAAAGAGAAGATCGTTTGTGAAAGAGTATAAATGAACAAAAAATTAACATAATGTTACAGAAAAAAAATGTTTATATTTTAAAAGAAAGCTGAGCAGCTTCAGTTTGCAGAGAACCAGAGCAATGACCATGTACCATTCCTAACATATTTATTGTCGGATCAATCCCTCACCCCAGAAGAAGCTCTGTCAACAGCGACCGATCTTCTAGTCAGCGCAACGGAAACGGTAAGAACTAAAAAAATATTCATACTTAATTGACTTTATCACTAAAACATAAGTTGCTTGTTGACTGAAATCGTCCATCTTTATTTATTTGACTTAGTTATAATGCAAAAAAGCTCCTTATTCATTGAATAGTAAAATCTGTTTTTTTTTGTTAATTTATTATATAATGAATATGCATGTAAAATAGGAAACCGCCGATGTATTTGTAGTTGAGAGTTGAAGTTGAAAGATAAACATTGCATGCAAAAGAGAGGCGAAAGATACCAAAGGGACATTCAAACTCATAAGTCGAACATAAACTGACAACGCCATGGCTAAAAAAGAAAAAGACCAACAGACAAAAAATAGTACACAAAACACAACATAGAAAACTAAAGACTGAGCAACACGAACCGCACCAAAAACTAGGGGTGACAAATAAGTCAGGATCCTGAACATATTAAATCATAACTAAACGAATAATGATAGTCACGTTACTGGCTTCAATGGAAAGCTGTATGTTTACTTAGGTTTTATGATCCCGAACCTTATGCATGTGTTTCCATTGATCATAATATCTGTAATTAATTCACTCCAAGTGTACAAGAATGAGGAGTTTATAATAGGGAAAATATTCAAATTTTGTCACTGTTTACATTATTTATTAACCATTTTCAATGCAATGCTGTATAACCTCGTGACAAAAACTTTTTTATAAGTGTAACCAAAACAAGGGTGTGAATAACTTGGATATATGCAGATCAAACAATATCATGTGTACTATCTTTTGAAGTAAACCCCACATTTCTGTTTATGCATATCTAAGTTGTTAATTAAATGTATATTTTACCCAGACAACGACCAGCTCTTTGTGGATACTATACAGCTTAGCAAAGAACCCTGAGGTACAGGAAAAGCTTTACAAAGAAACAATGGATCTGATACCAAATAAAGAACCAATAACACCTGAAATACTAAGTCAACTATCATACCTTAAAGCTGTTGTAAAGGAAACCTTCAGGTGAAATTTATTACTGTTACATCGCCCCTGTAAACTATAGGTTGCAGAAGGTGCAATGATACTGCATGTCTGCTTGAAATTTCCATCAATAATTTGACTAATGATATGAGAATTAATTACACTTCTTAAAATTAATCCTATCACCTTATGGAATTTGAAATACTTATGAATTAGGACATTGTTATTGTGACAATTCGTTTCGTAACAAAAAATCAAATTTGTGTTAAGCACAACATTGCTTTCAAACAAAAGAAGATTTTCCAGAAAACTCCATTGATAAAAATCAACGTCTTGAAATTGTTTTGAAAAAGTGGTTTACGTGAGGTTTATCGCAAAGAAGTTGGACTAATATTCCCTGAATTTATTTCACACCGGGTCATTTTCAAAAGCCTTTCAATCTTTACTTAAATTCATAGTATCAAAACCCAATGTGTGTACTTAAAAGAGAGGCGAAAGATACCAAAGGGACATTCAAACTCATAAGTCTAAAATAAACTGACAAAGCCATGGCTAAAAAAGAAAAAGACATTCTAACAAAAGACCCTGTGAGTAAAAACAAATACAGGGGATATTGGTTCTTCCTCTTTTCACATGATGAAATCGCAGTGTAAGTGTGAACAATATTTACTTTTGTTTTAGATTGTATCCTATAACATTTGCCACAAGCAGACATATAGATGATGACTTGGAAGTCAACCAATACATGATCCCTGCAGGGGTTTGTATTTTTTTTAAAGTTTATATAAAATGTTCTTGTTTTTGTCGTTTGTGTAAATAAAGATTACTGAGTATATATCTTCGACTGAGATCGAAGTCCTATCCTCAAATCGGAGATCGATCTGACGTCACAGTCTTAAATCGAAGTCCAAATATTTCAATACTCTAATTAAAATCTTATTTAACCAGATGTAAGTCATGGTAGCTGCCTATCGGGTCACTCAAATGTCTTAATATCTGAATACCAGTTAAGTCTATATTTCTGTTCTCTTTAGTGATCTTTTTGTCTTCATATTATTCTTTCTACAATAGTCTATATGACAAATAAGATATCGTGATGAGTTGACTTACGAAAATGAACGACAGAGGAGACAACATCTAATTCCAAAAAGAAGCAACTAAAACAAAATAAAAGGACGTCACGGATTGCGGGTAGATAACAAGTCATCTACAGACTACATATTATAATATGGACATGGATATTTTGCGTTCAAAATAAAAAACACTTCAAAGACACCAGACTACAAATTTGGGACGCCAGACACGTGTTTCTTCTACATAAGACTAATCAGTGACGCTCGAATCAAAAGAGTTGGAAGGCCAAAACAAATACGAAATTGATGAACATTGAAAAACCAATTATTTCGAAAAGTTGTGTCAAATACGTCGAAGCATATATATGCCTGGTGGTATATTAACCTTACTATTTAGAATATTTCAACATTCTATTTTATTGACAGTTGATTAACAAAAATAACGTACCAATGGTATTTCATGTCGGCACACAAGTGCTGAATCTAGGGCTGGTGATACCACAAGGAACGAAACGTCCATCACCAGTGACTAAGGCTATATATGACTGGGGGTAGATAAACCTTAGTGTTTAGCATATTTACATTTGAAGTCGTTGATCCAGTCTATGTGCATTGTTTCATTCAATTCTTTTTGTTGGTCGTGTAGTCCGAGATTCAGACGTCAGAGCAATTTTGTACTAGAGATCGTGTTGCTCAGCCTTTAGATTGCTATGGAGTGTTTTGTAGACTGTTGTTTGTATTTACACCAAATTGGTAATTATGACTTCGTCATATTTGTAACAACTGTGACCTATATATGTTACAGTGAATTTGTAAAATCAGGGATTTTGTAAAATCCCTGGAATAATTAGTGATTTTGTAAAACCACAGTTTAAACTTGATATTAGAAATTTGTTTTTCTTAATATAAAAACAGACTTTGAAATACATAAAACTTTTGTACAGTGATTATGAATTTGGGTGACATCTACTGTTACATAATTGCCCTGCTTTTCGACAGGCACACCTATTTTGTTCACATCTATTCTTTCCAGAACATCCATATTTTAAAAAACCTTGCCCATCGCAAATGGAGGACAGTTTAACTGCTTGTCGAAAAGGTATGAAATTGCCAATAGATACATCTGACGGACTCAAAAACAGGGAATCAGTGGGTTCAAACTGGTTTCTTGAGTATGACAATAACAAAATGCCATATTTGGTACCAAGACGATAACCTTTCTCTTACTTTCCATGGACAATTGCCATTAAATTGGATCACCCTTTCCACAATCAACAACTGTAATAGGAATAACAACATTACATCTAATGCTTACTTCTTCTAAAACTTTATTAGTCAGACGTAACATACGATTGGCTTGTTTTATTATTGATTGAGAAGCAATGACCTGAAATTTCAGGGATTTTACAAAATTCCTGATTTAAAAAATTTACTGTAACATATATACCGTGTGCGCGTCTTTTGGAATCAAGCGCGCTAATATTAATATTTTAACAACATAATTAATGATTTGGCAAGTATTAAATCAAGATGCAGGAGCCAAAAGCTAGCAAAACATAATATATCAGATAAGATTTTTGGAGGAAAAAAAACCCCAAAACATCTATTTATTTCCTTTTTTGTTTGCGCTTGTTTAATTAAATCTAAACGATAAAATATGGACAAAGTTTGTTAATATGTTACTTAATCTACCAAACATTTAAAAGTGCCTTGTTCAGAATTAGAGTTCTCAACAGTCACTACAAGACGTCATTACAGCGTCCAGAAAGAAGACATCGATCAGAGAAGTCAAGAATTTGACGTCGATTTGCACCAGAATAAAAGAGGCCATGAACCCATGTTCAAATCTGGTGAAACTATTTAGGATATACAAATCAACATAAAAACAAAACCTGAGGGAATTTTATCACAAGATCTAAGACAGAGAAAACATGTCGCGTGTCATTTGAGACATAGACACGTCGTATCGGTCAACGATTAGTGATGGTTACCGTGTTGATTCCAGTCGTTCTTCATCATAACTCTGTGGAAGCAGTTTTATGTGTAATGAGCACACCCCTGTTAATGTATGTCCGTATCATATTGGCATGCACACGCGTGGCGTATCAAATAAGATACGTAAACACATATAAAGGGGCAGCGGTCATATTTTACTGCTAAAATTTACTCGAATAATTCAATCCCTCTCCGTGTCCGATTTTCTTCCATGCGATGCCGCCACCGTAGAGCAGCGGAATATAATGACTATATTATTCGGTTTATGCTGAAATGGGAAATTGATAATGGGAAAGCCGAAATCGTCACGTTTGTCATGGATACTAGTGTGAAGTAGTCCATACGTGTTGATACTAAGAACATGAACCAGCATTGAAGCAGGCCTTCTAATTTCGGTAATATCCTTAATTTCAAGTTAACTGGATAGAGTAGATGCAAGCACTCACTAAAATGTGGATTGGTGAGTGACAGACATCATCATTATATCAAAGAACTTGGATGTAACGTATAATAATTAAACCTGGTGAGATAAAATGGAATGACATTTTTGTATCTGTGTATTAAGGGGAGTCGTTGCAGTTTCCCATATAAGAATACTAGTATTGTCAATTCTTAAATGATTTTGAGATATGCTGTAGATCGAGATTGGTATTTTTGAAACACATGAAATAAAACAGAGGTAATAGTATTTGTTTTCGAATAAAGTGAGATTCAAACTTTTGTTATTTCGATGAAATTTAATAAAACAACTTTAAGATTTAAAAAAGAGATATCAGTTTTAGCAATGAAAATAGCGAACTTGGTTTATTTAAAAGCTTTTATAATGTGACTAGTATTGTTTCATTGCATTACGTGTTTGAATTTTTGTTTTTCTTACCAAAATAAGATAAAGCCGACCTTTATTTAGAAGTTTGACAAATGCATTATGCGTTATGTTCTTGAAAATGTGTTTCATGCACCGGAATTGTCACATTATATTTTGCGGGAAAATCATTTTTCAACGTTCGGAAAAAAAGTGCATACATCAAAGAAACAAGGGGAGAAATGCATCACTTGTATGTTAACTACTATGGTATAAATCTGATAAACATATTTAAATAAGTTTTCGTATTTACTCACTTACAACATTTCGATAGTAAAGTTTCTACGGGGAAAAGAAACGTAAAACCATTTTACAGGAAAATAATTTCGTAACAAAAGTTTGTGTTGGTTGCATTACAAAGATATATTGTTTTGAGTTCAGGAGAATAAAGGATTTGCTTATTGAAGTTAGTTTTCGAGCGTCACCCTTTTAACACCTAAATTAATTGACTTAGTGGTGTTAATCTTACTGAAATAATTTCAAGAAAAATATCGTTGTATCTTATGTTTTTAATTTCTTTTTCCGTCACTCACGAACGTGCATGGGTTTGTTTTAATTTGATTTTTCATCTTCAGTTATATATTTTTTTTTTTTCCTAAATAAAGACGCATGTCCAAGGGAACTTATATGCTATGTACCATGATCCAAAACTATATCCAGATCCAGAGAGCTTTAAACCAGAAAGATGGATGGACGGTAAAATGGATAGGAAGCTCAAATCACTGTCAAACTTGGTCTGGGGTCATGGAGCAAGAATGTGTATTGGCAAGTATATAAAGTAGATATGTGTGCTTATTTCAATTTTTATTATGCCCCACCTACGATAGTAGAAGGGGCATTATGTTTTCTGGTCTGTGCGTCCGTTCGTTCGTCCTTCCGTCTGTCTGTCCCGCTCCAGGTTAAAGTTTTTGGTCAAGGTAGTTTTTGATGAAGTTTAAGTCCTATCAACTTGAAACTTAGTACACATGTTCTCTATGATATGATCTTTCTAATTTTAATGCCAAATTAAGAGTTTTGACCCCAATTTCACGGTCCACTGAACATAGAAAATGATAGTGCGAGTGGGGCATCCGTGTACTATGGACACATTCTTGTTGTATGCTGTTTTTATATTGATATAATAGGTGTTCCATGTCAGCTGACTTTTCAGTAGATAGGGGGAATTTGTAACTTTTGACTCTCTCTTTGTTTACAATTGAGCAAAGATCAAACTAATTCATCGAATACTAAATGTAGTCTAGTTTATAATTTCAAGCAGTTTTTCATACTAATATCTAGTCAAGATTGTTGCTTGTAATCTATCTGAACGTAATATTTGTTTATTTTTAGGTAGAAGATTCGCAGAACAAGAGATGTATATAATGTTGACCAAGGTATTAGTTATATTTCTGTGGTCATGTTAAGAACTGTAATAAAAAGGGAATAAAAAGAGATGATGGTATAAGTCAATGATAACTCATCCAATTTTGTTGATATAACGGAACTATAAGCAACTGTCATATGGCAGGTTTAGCTAGCTATAAAACCAGGTTCAAACCACCATTTTATTCGGAAAATGCTTGTACCAAGTTAGGAATATGGCAGTTGTTTTTCACTTGTTCTGTTGATTGATAGCGTTTGATTTTGTTGTCAGTTTTTATGGACATCCCTTTTGAATTGCCTTCGAATTCGATATTTTTGTTATACTTTTTTATGCAACAACCAAATGACACAAATATCTAAAAGGACATCTACGCTATCCATTTCTTGTTCAGTGCATGTAATGATCTTGTGTAATGAATTATCTGGTATCTATCAAATTTCGATATTGCCTTTAGGCATAAGATTTTGATAGATAGATAGATCGAGCATTAGCAAGAAATTAAATTCCAAAATTTTTCAATATGATCCAGCAATTTCAGTGATAGAATTAGAACTTATCTTGTGTGGAATCTCTTCAAATAGCAAATCATTAATTAAAGAGTTTTTTTTTTAAATATTTCCTCCCTGTCTTATTAATTCAATTCCAAGTTTGTTGCAGTGGTTTTGGTTTGATTACCAGATTCTTGTTCAAAGCTTTCCTCGAACAATTCAACAGCTCCATAAAATAAGCAGTTCCAGCTCGCTTATTTGATACAATGTTGTTCGTTATATTATATATTGTATTATACCGCTTCTTTATAATATTCAGTTGAACAGGTTATTTTCTCGAGTATGAGCCGAATCTTCGGATACGGGGCTTGGTTAGGTAGGTACTACTGTATTGTTGCAGTTACAGATTGTCTTCAAACATATATATATAAATAAAAAAGATACAAGGTTTATAAATTGTTACGCAGAGGCGTATTTCGTCTACATCCGACTCATCAGTTGCTTTAGAATCAAAACAGTTGAAGGGGGCAAATCAAAAACAAAGTTGAAAAGCATTGCAGGCCAAGTTTCAAAAAGAAATTCCAAATGCAGCTAAGGCAATCTATGCCTGGGGAAGAAAAGTGTTATATATTATATAAGTTAATGTTTCAGGACCTTTATACACCTATTGAATAGTGGGAATTCGGATTTTTCATCATTAATCGAACACTTTTTTTATTTCCATTTTCAGACATTTGACATTTCTATTTCAGATAATTCAAAATTTCAAATTGGAATACCACCATGAAGATATTGAACCTATCCTGAATACGGTAATGACACCCGACAGACCACTCAGACTGAAATTTATTCCTCGATCGGACTGACATCAATACTCAATACAATGATAACAGTGTGTTCAGGAGGAAGAAGTGTATACATGTAGTTTGTCGGATTACGTATGACTCTGTGATATTCTATTTCTGTGATATAATAAACTTCAAACATTTCATTTATAACATAGACTGATCTTTTAACAATGTGGTAAAGCTGTTCTCTTGAAAAAATATTTCTGCTCATTTCTTAACTTTTCATGACAAAATTCCGATGTTCAAAAAATATTTGAGAATAGTTTACAGTAAAGTACTTCCAGCATTTTTTTTAATATTTCAACTTTAGTAAAAGAGTTAACATGTCTCTTTAGTTATGGATAACAATAATACAAATGCATAAGGAAATAAAAGAAGTTAACAGTATTTCAAAAGTATGTTTTATTGTTGGTATCTTTGCACTTTAATTATGTGTTTCTTCCAATCTGAATGCAGTTATATAATTAGTTCAATGGGAGAAATTGTAATTAATGACAACACTTTATATATATCTCATACAATTAATAATATGATATAAAAATTAACCAGAACAGACAAATGAATAAAACAGTATACTGTAAAGGGGAAAATAAGGGACAAGAAAAAACGGATATTAGAAATTGCAAAATGTAAACCCTTGGATAATAATCATTTAACAGTATTCTCTCTTCACCCTTTTTAAAGCAAGGGAATGATAAGCTTTTATGTCATTACTACCACTGGGTCAAAACCTCTGCTGGTGAACTGTTAGTCCCCGAGGGTATCACCAGCCCAGTAGCCAGTACTTTGGTACTGGCATAAAAATACAGATATTGTGTGATTAAATTTATAAAATTTTGGAAATCATCTTAAACTAGATATGGACAATCCCCTCCCCCTTTCTGTTCTGCCATATGCATGAGTATAGTTCCACATATTTTAGATTTGACAAACAGTGATGTTGGCATACAACTTGAAATTGTTACGCCGTCTGTAAGACACAAATTATGCCCCCGCCTGACCATAGAAAATTATAAATTTAACACTCTGTATGATGATGTAACTGTAGGAGGAGATAACCGGACAAACCATGATCTCTTTATGCTAGTAGCAAAAAAATGACCAAGTCCAACTACCTGTCATTTTCAGAATATTTAAAAAAAATCAAAATCCTGTGGCCATGCACACCTTCATTATGTGTATTAACATCCTACAAAATATTAAAGTTGTACCTCCAAAACTGTAGGAGGAGATAGCCAGACAAACAATGTATCTTAATCAAGACTCCCCACCCGCCCCCCGCCGACATTTTGTCGCGGGGGCATAATAAAGGAATATATCTCCCTTATGCAAAGCTCTGATTCCTTGTGACGTCCGAATTAGGCTATGCTTTAAGTCCTTTTTTGGTTTCATCCTCTCTTCAACATATGTATTAGATTTTGGATATTCCAATATATTTTGGCCTCGAGCATCACTGAAGAGACATTATTTGTTGAAATGCGCATCTGAATCATCAAAATTGGTACCTTTTATGTTATTAGCTGATAATAAATTAAGAAAGTTATATTGAACACAAGTGCTGGATTATCATACTGTGGGATTAGGTAGTATTTCTTATGTGGACAAAGTATAAAAATCATGAACAAATATTTGTCTTTTATTGTGTGAAATCTCTTTTAACACACAGGAAATAATATATTTTGCACCTAAAATAAAAATAATGCATAATCATAATGTTTCATCAAATAATATTGGAAATAAAGTACATATTGATGATTGTAACCAAAAAATCATCTGATTGATAAAATATCACAATATTCAAAGTACTACTGTAAAAAAAGACATCAGAAGATTATGCAGAGTTATCAATTTGTCCCTCATAATGATGCTTAATCCAGATCTAAGATTTCCAAATATTTTATTTGATCATTCAGTTCTGTAAAAAAAAATCAAAACCCAATCTCCATAAAAAAAAACCACAACACTGGTACCTATTTATAGAATAATAAAAATTTGGGGAATGATTTTCCACACAAATATTTAAAGTAATAAAAATAATTTCTTCCTGATTAGTTAAAAAAGGTGAAGCTTGAAAAAGTACGACATTAAAAAAAACATTGCATTTTCTGTCTAGTAGCAAAAAAAAATCACATAAAAAAATTTCTTACATAACTATTACTCATTCTGTAGAGGTAAAAAATCAAAAATATTTACTCGCTGAACTCTTTCCCATATTTATTTTTTTGCATAATAATTCAGATAAACTATCACAAACACATGTGGGAATGTAAAAATTTGTTTCCTCAATCTGCTTGCATCACTTATCTTCAGTTAATGATCCTTTTTAAACTTTATCTTATATTGACTAGAATCCTTTAACTCCTACACTTTACAATCATTCAATCTACTAAAATGGTAAACATGAGTGGATGCACTAAAATGTCTCACCAGTTCAACTGATTTATGTTAAAGTCGTATTATACAGGTATCATATGGTAAACAAAACATTAATGATCCATGAAAATGAGGTCTTGCCAAGGTGAACCCTCTCAGACAGGTTGTTCACTTTTCAATGATTCTATTCACCAAAAGTTAGTAGGATTTACATGTACTTTTATTAAGTAAGATTTGCATGAAATCACAGAAACTTAACATTGAAAAATGGAAAATGAGATCAAGGTTAGATGTATGCAGTCAGACTACACTTTTAATATATCATGTAGTGTAATTGTCATCTAACAAAGAATTCCACTCAAATTTGTGCTAGGGGTCATCTTGAACTTGAAGTGAGCTTAGAGGTTTTTGCACTATGTTGAAGGCCTCACTGTGACTTTGAGATAAAGAAAATAAGGCAGTCAAAATGCTGTTATTTACTTTTTGTTTTTTATAAGCATATTGTTATTTTGTGTCTTGAACTGATATGCCTTATCCTTCCTTTTCCACATGTACTTGTTATTCATTAATTATGGTGGGCCTATAACTTAGAGAAACTGACCTTTATGCTAAAATGAACCATGAAAATAAGGGTCCTTGTCAAACAGGCATGTTTCTAATTGACAAAATATATTGGATGTGATACAGAAAATGACTGAAAACATAACCTGTTGACCAATCAACTATGAAAATGAGTTCATGGTGAATTCATATGTATACCTTGGAATGATAATGATTCTATATACCAAATTTTGTGGACCTATTCCTCATAACTGAAAAGATCATTTGATAACCATACACATGTAGTCAATGCACTATAATAAACTGTTATCACAGAGATATGTCTCGCCTTTTTGTAATTTTGATAATGCAAATGTTGAAATTAAAATAGCAATACTTTATCATGTAAGTTATGCAAATATTCAAAGTTGATGAACCATGACTGAAGATACATGGCTAAACAATCTCCATGGAATGAGATGTGCCAATGCTAATACAACTGCATACCAAATACCATTGACTTATCATAAGTCGTTCCCTTTAAACAAACCTAAACACAAACATTAACTTGTAAACTATGTAAAAGTTTCAAAATCAGGGGTGGGGCTATATAATCTCCATGGAAACGATACTTGAAAATGCCAATAAATTTGCTTACCAAATATCATTGACTTAACATTAGCAGTTCATCTTAAACTGATCTAATGACATACTAATACATGTAAACTAAGCAAAAGTTTCAAAGTAAATAGACCATGACTGAGGGGTGGGCCAAATATTCTCCATGGAAATGAGATGTGCTAATGCTTATACAACTGAACACCAATTAACATTGGCCTACCACTAATGGTTCCCCTTGAACTGACCTAATCACAAACTAATACATGTTAACTTAGCAAAATTTTCAAAGTCTATAGACCATGACTAAGGGGGCGGAGCCAAATAATCTCCATGGAAATGAGATATGCCAATGCTTATACAACTGCATACCAAATATCATTGACCTACCACTAGTGGTTCCCCATAAATTGACCTAATCACAAACTAATACATGTAAACTATGAAAAGTTTCAAAGTCAATAGACCTTGACTGAGGGGGCAGGGCCAAATAATCTTCATGGTAATGAGATGTGCCAATGCTAATACAACTGCATACCAAATATCATTGACCTACCACTAGTGATTCACCATGAACTAAACCTAATCACAAACTAATACATTGTTGACGCCGGAAACAGCATACCTATGTCTCGCTTTTTGACTCCATCAAGATGAGACAAAAATGATGTCACAGATAATATACATTCTCAAGATGGAAATTCCACATCAAATCTAGCTTTTCTATCTTCTAAAAATTCAAAGCTTTATAAAGTTTTTTTATGTTACAGTCCTCAGATTAGCACCCCTATCTCTCATAATTTGCTAATTCTTTTTAGGTGGGATATTACAGGTCACAAGTATACACAACGTTCCGGCCTGTTCTGTTATTTTAGAGATCACAGTGTACTATTGTCCAGAACATCAACCATGTTGGCAAAACTGTAAAACAAAATAAGCCATACATCCATGACCCAAACAAATATCTGTCTAAGATTGTCAAAACTAGGCCATGTTTCATGCTCTCAAAGGACTTCTGTATTAAATCCCATGATCCTTTGTAACGTCCTTCCATTGTTGAGATCATTGATGCTATACAAATTTGAACTGCAGGACACAGGAGTAGAAGTAAAATCTTTTGTAGCCAACAAAATATTCTGAAACAAGATGTAACATATATATATATATATATAAAATACAATTTTCCAAGATATTTTATAATTGCATGACAAATACTGGAGTTTTTTCAATGATTATTCTGACTGATTTTAACATTTTTTTCAAGATTAATCTACATTTACCTATCAATTCACCAGACCAGTATGGTGTCGTATCTCTGATCAATTCCATAGGGTGTTGATGTTTGTTCACTGTTGAAGGCCGACTTTTAGATGTCTTATCTGTTTAATGGGTGTTGATGGGTTACTTTACACATTTTTTTGAAATCTCCTTTTTTCAAATTTGAATTCATCTACTCATTTATCAAAACACATATTCAAACATGTGGAGGGATGACAAAAACAGATTTTATTGTAGCTAAATTGGGTTTTCCTAAAGTGTATGCAAGTATTTAGCCTTATCACATATCTTATATGTTATGTTAATTTCGGTCAAACTAAAAATGTAAACAGTTTGTTTTCTGTAATATGGATTGAATTAGTTTTGTTTTCCATTGGTTTATGTAATAAGAGAAAAAAAACTTACAAATAAATCAGCTTAAATTTAAAAAGAGACAATTCAATTTCCATATATCATAACAAATGCCCACTCTTTCTTAAAAAATACCTTAAACAGTAGTTTTTGTAAAATCACAATTCAAATCAAATTCAAAATTTCACTTTGTAAAAGTAAAGAGAATGTTCCAAAATGTAATACTTTTTTCCCAACTTTACAACCCTAACTTTGCAGTCCATGTAATAGGCATTTTCTGTGCTTTTTCAAGAAGACACTGGAAAAAATTCCCTGTATTGAAATCTACAGCATCAGACATTTTAAAAGTGAAGTTTTATAATTAGCAGTCCTTACCTATTTTTACAAGGATGTGTAATAACTGTTACAGGTATTATAAATACTGCTAAGAAGAAGGCTAAAGATATGTTCATCAATGATATAGAAAAAAGTACTAATGACTGGAATATCAGGCCTATACTCTTCAGTAGTTCCCAATCAAATATCAACCTCTTATCAGATGACTGGGATTTTCTGAAAAATAATAAATCACTGTCTTCAAAGGAAAATACATGTGCATTAAACAGAAACAAATTATCTCATCTTATGACTAACAAATATACACAAACATTTTTTTTTCTCAAAACAACATAATGTTTTTAAAAATCAATCTTTTTAACTATTCAGATTACCTTTAATAGTTTGCTGGCTTGCTTTTTTGAGTTTTTGATTAGTATCAAACTTAGATATTATCTACTTTTCATATCTTAGCTATGATGGACATTCTAAATACAAAGCATGAAGACAGCACTTAATACATAAAGATAGGTATAACCTAGTTTGACTTTCGAATATTCTTATTACAAAAGAAATTATAACTTATTAAGTTTTCCTAAATCTATCTGGATGTGCTTGTAAGAAATTAGTACCCCAACTGATGCCAACTTTCAAGGGTTGTAATTCCATGAAAATTATGTCGTTTGAAACACAACTCTATTTGTAACTCAAAATTTATTTCTTATAAACCAAATAAAACACTTTTATTAGCAATTATTACATTTTCCCTTGGATCCTACTGCCTAATATTTTTTAGATCATGGATAAGACCTGATACTCGAAAATATTAGGCAATGATGTCATGTATCAATGAAACAAGGTCAAGTATTCATGTCCATCCACATCAATTTATCAAGGAAATGCAGGCAACTTCATTCATTCAACGAACAACTATCACAATATTAGGTACGCAAAGAAATAGTTTTACTAATTTTTTCATTTATTTCATATTCTCAACCAAAAAAAAACATTGTTATGACAAATTAAAGACGAAATTAATAATGGCATTTTATTTTTTATACTTACTTTATCAGCTCAAATAATAGCTTGCCCTAGAGGGCTTCCTTAATATTCTTGCTGATAGTCAGTTTCAAAAAATAAAATGCCATTATTCCATATTTATTATTAGTTAAACCAAAAATCAGCTCAATGACTATAGGTATAACTTAGAAGTCCAGACAACTGTGTAATTTAGGAATTGCATTAGGACAGTCATAGGTAATACTACTTGCCATGACCGGGTAATAAAAGATTAATGGTGAAGGTCTATATCTTATCTATTTACACAAGTTACTTACTTTGCTACAGTCCTTGGTAATAAAAGACAAGCAGAGAACAAAGCCAGCAGTCCAAAGAAGACTGTATCTTCTACCCCAATCCTGAATGATGGAGACATAGTTGTAACAAACTCTGGTCCAGTAAAACAGAATACACCCATCAGAAAACTAAATAATATTAAAGGTAATACTGTTGATACTCCTTCTCTAGAGGCTTCCTACAATAATTAAAATGTATTTTTATAATAAAAATACAATACAAAAACATCACACACATTTGTATTTATGCATTACCCTAGTAGTTTACACACATACAAATTTCAAGAACTAATGCAATTAACAGCTATTTTGTCAAAAATATGTAAATGCAATAAAATATTTCCAGTGTTGCAATAATAAGCTTTATTTGTTCACTTCTTAACTTTATAAACTTTATGGAATAACTGTTGTGATTGTTGAGAGAAAAGAGTGTCCTGTTTTTACATTAATAATTTTGAGTTGATTATAGTTACTTATATATTTCTGATCCATCATTGTAACTATACAAGAATTGTCTCACCTGCTTAACTGATTACTCTTTACACATTGGAGGTATACTTATTGATATTTTAATCTGGCAAAACTTGGTTTATGTTTGAATTGAAATTGCGCTATGAAGTAGCTTTCAGTATCTATAAGTGCACTTAGGTTGGTACTTTGTGCCATTTTTGTGCTTGTAAATGTGGATATATTTATCATAAAGATTTCTAATCTATCTATTTTATTTCTACTTGATGGTGAACCTATATAAGCGAGCTCCCTATTTTGGCACAACAAAATACATCTTAGATAATTCTATGCAACCAGTAAGAATGATAGTGAAGGACAGAAGTCCTTATTCTATATACCTCAGGAGAATCTTCATCCTCATTATCTGTGTCAGTCTGTTTAGTATCTTCTTTCTCTTCCTTGGCTTCACTTTCTTTTTCTTCCTTGGAGTCACTGGTATTATTTTTTGAGTCACTGGTTTTATTTTCTGAGTCACTGGTAATATTTTCAGAGTTACGTGTACTTAATGCTATCCATATAGCAACAGCCTGCATGATGGTTAAGGTATAATTTTTTTAAAGTTACAAGTCATATTTTCTAATGCCTATTTCATAATGTGCAATCTTTTTCTTAGCTGGGTTCCTCACAGAAATAAATTAAAATTGTAAGACCCTATTTTTCATTTATGTATTTAACATGCCAAAATGCGAACATGAAACATTTATAGAAGTCTTACCAATTTTGTGAAAAGACCGTCAAGCCTGCCATACGCACTGTACAAAATAAGTAAACAATGTGAATTTATCCTTAAAAAAACTAGATGTGCAGCCTTATTGCAAAAAGTCAGTCAATCAACTTGAATGAACTGCGAAATTTAATCTGTAATTCAGCACTATGCACTAATGTACAAAAATCAGCTCCAGATCTGCAGGCACTACATTATCTTTTAGTCATCATTATATACTTGTGAATCTAAAATCATATCAATGTCTGCAGGCGTAATAAAAAACACAAGCAATGATGAAAGGAGGGATGTGGAGATTGCTCTTATGCCTGGTCACTTAACATTAGGGGGATAATAAGAAGGCTACACTGAATTCTTTCATATCAATGAGGATGCACAATTACATTACTATAATCTTACAAACTAAGAAAAGGATACTTTGATGAGACCAGCAGCACATATGAGACCAAATGGTGGCATATACAGTCCTATAGAGATGTATCTCTCCGTGGCTGGTAAAATGTAGAAGAAGAAAGATTGGTGAAACCTCTCCAATAAGTTGTTTAGACTCCTAAATATACCCTCTATAACTCTGTAAAATACAATAAATTAAAACTTTACATAAATAAACCCTCCATAGCGTCCTTAATATATTACATTATTTTTTATTCCTAAATACACTTTCTACAATTGCTTCAAAATATCTATTTCATTATGGTTTCAAACAAGTCATGATGACAATAATTTTAGTCAAAACATCCAACAAAACACAAAAAGGTTCAAGATGTTTGTTGGACATTAACACAAATCACCAGCCATGTCCTGTACAATGTAAACATTTTTCTAGCAGTTTTGATGCTTTTTTGGGACAGAGCAAGTTGCAACCTAAGTGTTCTTCACAGTATTTTCAAATAGCAACAGGGATTTGAAATATCTCTGCTTCCCTAAAATTACAGCTCCACTTACACAATACATTCTATAATCAAATCTATTCAGATGGTACCATTGCAAAATTTGATACCATGGTGCTATAAAGACCTGGATAGATCACTGAACTCTAGCTTAAGTAAACATTATAATTTTTCTCTTATGAGAAGTCAGATCTGGACCTTTTATTCTCATAATATTGCCTGTAATCAGATATTCACCTTCCTGTTTTTGCCAAAGAAATGTGATGTCCTTTTCTCTTTGTGATCCCCTCAATAGTAACAGCCTCAATGTGATATCTATGGAAGAGTCCATGATTTCCTGTAGGGACACCAGAAGCATGGGACCACATCATTTTCATCATGGTTTTCAGTGAGTGCTTGTATCCATCTACAGATTCAGCATCATAATAATCTTTCTGTTAAATCAAATAAAGAAATTAAAGATGTGTAAAAGCCTTTTCAAATTTTTTACTTTCTAAGAAGGAAAAGTTTCATTTATATATTACTCATAATTTTCCATAGCAGTCAGGATATCATTCCAATACTGACAAATAAACCTGAGGTTTTAGCTGCTGGTCTGATCAGATGTTGGTGGTTGATGTCGGGACTGATCAGATGTCGGGGGTTGATGTCGGGACTGATATGCTAAATGATGTGTCATAATCCCTTTATCATATAATCCCATCACAAAATGTTTTATAAGTTGTAACATGGACACATTTAGTTAGAAACTTTACTTTTTACTGAATATAGACTTTTAACCAGGCAAGTTCCATTAAAGAATCATTTAAGTGTTCAATTCTGAAGCTATATTTTTTTTGCCATGGTACTATAATACTTCAAGCATTTGAGTTACATTCTGTACTTCTGTGCTCAAGTTTGACATCTATACATTCCATATCCCAATAAAACCACATTGAAAACATTACTTTGTGTCTTCTGTCTTTTTGATAGTTGTTTTTTATACTTTGTGTAGATCTGAGGCGGCAAGCCTTTTTCAACTGATTTTAACAGATTATACTTATGCAATTGTTGTGCTGTTACAACACTGTCCACAGTTAAGGGAGCGTTGACAGCATGAAACAGTCATGTTTAACCCAGCCACATTCTATATGTGCCTGTCCCAAGTCAGGAACCTGTAATTAAGTGGTTATCATTAGTCACTGCCTATCACTTATTTTTTGTTTATTGTTTTGTACATAAATCAGGTGATTGGTTTTCTTGTTTTAATAGTTTTGACATTTTGTCATGTTGAGGATTTTTATAGCTAACTTTACAGTATGGGTTTTGTTAATTGTTGAAAGCCATATTGTGACCTATAGTTACTGACATCTATGTTATTTGTTCTCTGGTTGATAGTTTTCTCATTGCAATCATACCATATCTTCTTTATTTCATATTCTGTACGAATCATCGACACATAGCAACATTATAAGCTGGGTCTTATATAAGTCTGCATCAACTTGTTGCCACATCATTAGCAGTGCACAATATAAATATCTGTTCAGTGGTATATTTGTCATACTTGCTTGTGTATTGACACTTCCACTCTTTCCCTCTGACATAATCTGACCACTAGGTTGACAAGATCAAGGTTAGGTAGTTGTCCATTTAATCCCTGTATCTTGATATCTAGATGCTTCAGGTTAGAATCTGGTATCTCTAGATTTAAAGCTGCTTGTATAGATCCACTTCTACCCATTAGGTCTCCTGGGGATATGTCTGAAAGTAACAATCATGTTTACTGACCCAAATATTTTCTACAACAAATAAACAAAGGCATTTTTCTGAGTTTCAGTTAGTTTTATTGTTTTACAAGAAAGTTAGACAATTAAAGAAGTGACATATCATCAAATCTAAAATATTGTTAATTTTGTAAATATTCTATATGTTATAATGTTTACATGTCTAATATACTGTATATATTTGTCTTCTGGTCTCCACATATTTTTTAATTTCATGAGCAAAACACTTCTGTTTATGATCAAAAACTAGAACTTTGAGTGAACTTGAAAAAGGATACCCCAATCCCATAAATTTGATTATCTTAAATTTAACATATTCTTTATGAACATCCTCAAGTATTGTTCTACAACTGTGTAAAGTTTCATCAATATCTGTCTACCTGTTAAGGAGAAGTTGCAATTACAAGGAAATTGGACAGACAGACGGACAGTTAGATTCTTTGTATCTCCAAAAATTTTGTATGTGGGGGTAAAATAAAAGGTGAATACGTACTAATTTATGTATATATGTATGTATCTTTTTCAGATAAATATAAGAATAAGTCACTGTACACGGTAATTCTTCCAAATATTTGTCACAAAATTTATACTCAGAATCAAAATATTTCTGTATTTTTGTATTTAAACATTCACCATTTATAACATAGACTACTATCAGAAGCTTTGAAACTGTCAAACTTACAATCAGAGCTGATGTCATGGTAACCATTTAGCCACGCTTGCATCCCAAATTGTTCATGATCAGTGGCAAGAAATATTATATCCTTGGCCCAATATGGTTTCTCTGAAAAAAATATCTGGGATGTTCAATGATTAAAACCTCATTACTGTAAATTCAGAAATTATTGCGTGCATTTATTATTGCGATTTTGTCATTTTAGACTAAAATGCGATTTTAATTTTTGCGTTATTGAGAAAAATCCTGTTTAATTCATATAAAAAATTTCAAAATGCGAGTTTATATTATTGCGATTATAACCATGTCGCATTTTTCGCAATAATAAAAACATCGCAAAAATTTCTGAATTTACAGTATGTGGATATAAATATAACAGGAGATCAGGTGTAAATTTCAACAGATGTTTGTTTGCTATTACTCTAAATGTTGTTACTACACGTATAAGCAATTGGTTTGGTTATAAAGAAAAGGGATCATAGACATAGTGTAGTTATTGTTCTTTTTCAGTAGTCAAGGTCATTAAACACCCCCTAGTAGAAGTTTATTTCATAAATATTATACTTTATCATATAGTTGAGCAATTTTGTCATTTTGGTTAATGTTTTATATGTGTATTTATTATATATAACAATTTCCTATAAGGCACCAAATAACGACTACAGCCAACTTATGGCAAATTTAAGCTAAACTTACGTCTGAAGTATTTTGCCAGGGCAAGCATTAACACCATACTACCAGTGGTTGAAGGCATATCCGACTCTTTTTGACGAAGGGGCATAGAGAGAACAATAGACTCTGTACTGCTGGCTCTCCTAGCTCTCAATATTCCATAGACATTCTGGCCTGGTACACTCTGCAGAAAAAATTCTACGTTTTTATTCTTGGAATCATCACTCAATGTTTCACATGCATTTCTTACTGTGTTAAAAACTCAGTACATGTATATTAGTTTTTTTTACTATTATGTTGATTAAATTATTTATCAAAATGTATTTAATGGTGTAATTAAATATTCTTTTAAGGATTTAGTCTAGTTTCACTTATGAAAGATGATTACCTACAATCAGTTAAAATTCAAATGAATAGTGCAACTAGTTTGGATGGACTATGTAACAATTTAAAAAAAAAAAAAATTTATAAAAGAAAAGAGTGAAATCTTTGGACTAAAAATGCCATATACATAAAAATTTGATAGAATAAACCTTCAAAGACAGCATAAGTTTCTAGGGTATAATGTGGTCAGTTAATTACAGTGAATAGTGCAACTAGTTTGGATGGACTATGTAACAATTTAAAAAAAAAAAAAATTTATAAAAGAAAAGAGTGAAATCTTTGGACTAAAAATGCCATATACATAAAAATTTGATAGAATAAACCTTCAAAGACAGCATAAGTTTCTAGGGTATAATGTGGTCAGTTAATTACAGTGCTTTATGTATATTATTTGCAGATCTTATACAGACTTTGTTAAATTTATTCACAATTTTTCTAGACTGTGGGGATTCAGAGCTCGACTTATTGTTAAGACAGTTTGGCTATTGTTAAAATCTATGTGTCGACTCCTAATTATCATTTTTTGTGTGTCTCATTGAAGTTTAATGGACAACCTATTATTAATAATTACTAATTACTACATTAATCTGTAGAAAAAACTTTTGTGGAAAATACTGCTTCGCTTCGACACATTTTTTTCTCTCACTTTATAAGACTTTTTGTCATTGAAGGAAATCACATACTTCTAGAATTTAACAGTACAATGCACATATCTCAATATCAAAATGTATTGCAACAACTCAAACTAAGTTAATATCAAAATTCATAGTACTTTAACCATCAAGGTAATATTGAATCTGTAGCCAAAGGTTAATTAATACTATACCTTTCCCCTAGTTAATTGTAATGGATACAGTATAGTGTAGTTCTGTATATAAGTATCTAAACCCAAAGCTATGAACTGGTCTGCAACCCATTTTCTAGGTACATTGCTGAAATAATATATTGATTAACAAATAAAGATAAAACATTTGACAAAAATAATATGCAATATTACATTGATTGCAGTGAATTTCAATGATTTCCCAGTGAAATAAAAACCGATAATTTCACTCCTCTGACGTCATACAGTAGGTGTTGTCAAGACTTTGTGGATGACGTTGCATCAAAACAAATTGTGAATGTGTAGAAAAAGATATAGTTCCTTGCATTTTCTACTTTATTTCCATTAAAAAACCCATTGTCAATGTAATAAAAAGAATAACTAAAGAATTCAAATATCGAAAAATATTCAACTCGTGACAGAACAACACTGATAATTAACTCATGCGCTACGTGCATTCGTGAATTAATGTGTTATTCGGTCACTTGTTGAATATTTTTCTATATTTGAATTCTTCGATTAGTTATTCTAGAAAATAATTATTGAAAAAATTGATAATTTTTATTATTCTTTTAACTGAAATATTATGGATTGTGTTTATATTTCTTTATTTAATCATTAATCTCGAATTTAATGTTCAACTATTTTATAGATTGGTAATGCAGTAACCAATCTCCCCATTATTTAAAAAATAGTTAGAAACATTTGCAAAATACATGATATAGAAATACGTATTCCAAATATAATATCTTACTTTTTTTCCTTTTGAAGCTGTTCATTGTACTCTTGTACCAGGGATTCCATATCCAACTCTGGGTAAAACTCATTTTCTACTAGACCTAAGTGATATATGAGTTACAAATCCATAATTTAAAGTCTAAAATCTTGGGCACTTCTAAATTATTTCTCAGATTTAACTCAAAAGCTTTGTTACAATTATCATGTAGAAAATCTTTTTAAAGCAATTCAGAAATCCTGTCAGATGTATATTATATACATGTATATTATAATTATTGCAAGGTTTTTATAAATGTGAATTTTGCGACTGGATAAGTATCGCAATAATAAGAACTCACATTCTGAATTTGATACACATATTTGTATAAAGATTTTCCTGAAAGCGCAATAATTAATTTCACATTTTAGTCAAATTCTTTAAAAATCGCAATAATAAACATGATAAATGCATGCAACAATTTCTGAATTTAAAGTAATCAGTTCTAGGGATACCTACCTGGCAATAAAGCATTTTCAGAAAAGTAGGTACGAGCATTGAGTGGTTGGTAAGCTAAAGCCAGAAACCATGTGACCCCAGCAATGTAACATAGAACAGATAGGTGGTTGTTATACTTAGATATCACATCTAATATTTTCTGCCTTTTCTTTGGATCTGACAGAAGTCCCATTTTCCTGCCAAAAAAAAAAAATTTATGTGAAAAAACTTATATTGAAGAATAGTGCTAATTTATCAGAACATGTATGAGGGTAGAAATGCCCTTTAGCGTCAAGTGTGAAATGTCCGTTTAAGTCAAATGAGAATTAATTTTTTATCGTCATTTGTCAAATCTCATTTTGAAGCTACTGTTAGCCTCAAATAGAGTAAAAGGTGTATCTTTAACATTATTTTAACAAATATTGTACCGTCATTCATCATGTGGGGTACCCTATTCCTACCCTCATGTATGTATATATACATATATATATTTAAAGGGGCATTAGCTGTCAAATTCATGTTCACCGATTTGACTCAAATTCTCACATTTAATTTATAACATACTAAAACGTATATCCAAATTATAAAAAGTCTAAAATAAACAATTTACGATGCATGGACTAGATAGTATGTATCAGCAGTTTGTGTGTATTTTAGTCTAGACGCCATCTAATTAACCATCAAGATTACCTCTGAAGACTGCCGACAATCATATAACCCGATATAAAACATAAATATAGATATAAATAGATAGCAAATATGTGCAATTGGACTTTTCTAGGTCTGTTTGATTTCATATTAAAGGTTAAAAAAATGTGTTAATCATCAATGCTACCCGGCGTACCTGTATAATAATGAGTTTTTGTGGATTGAATCAGTCAACCAAATGGTTTACCCTTGTTTCACTTTCAATGTGGGCATTCTTTTCCTTTCAATAGATGAGCACACCTACTTTATGCATAACCCATCTCCAGCTAAGGGGTTTAATTGAAGGTTACATGAATACGGATTCAATGAGGTCGAATTATTCACTTGCAAGTGAATAATTCATCAGCTATGTTTCTTAGCTTATTTGGACAAAATTGAACCAAACTGGCTGCTAAAAGCAAATATTCATTTCACTAATTACCTTTCATTAATGATTGAACAAAAAAAAATCATATTTTATATTTTTTTATATCTCGCAGCTAATGCCCCTTTAATCAACAGTATATATAAATAGAAAAATTTATGTCAGTCTGTTGCCTGGCATAAGAAATTTTGATATTCGTGTGTTGTAAATATACTTTAAGCTTTTATTGGTGGAGGATTGGAGAAAGAAATTTTTATACGGGCAGTCCCCAATAACAATAAGGAAATCAATAAAACGAAAAATCAACTAATATGTTTTTCTTTGTATCGATCTGATGAGTTAAGCCTTTTTCAACTGATTTTAATAGTTTGTTCTTATGTCGTGCTATTACACCACTGTCCCAGGTTAGGGGGAGGGTTGAGCACTCACAAACATGTTTAACCCCACCACATTCTTTATGTGCCTGTCCCAAGTCTGGAGCCTGTAGTTCAGTGGTTGTAGTTGTTTCATGTCCGTCATATTTGTTTTTCGTAAATTGTTTTGTTATAAATTAGGCCGTTTCTCAATTGAATTATTTCATATTTTTCATGTCCCGACCATATGGTACCGGGTATGGATTTTTCTCATTGTTGAAGGCCGTACGGTTGCTTATAATTGCTTACATCCACTTCATTTAAACTTTGAAAGTTGAGGTTGCGCATTACCCTGTTCCTGTTCTATTGATGGACACTGTCAAGTCATACATTAAGAAAATCAATAAAATGAATAAAAAAAAACAAATAATAATAAACTCAAAATTGTTAACTTTTTTTCAAACTTTTTTATTTTCCCACATTTGCTCAGAAATCTCTTTCTTTCATCCGGTCTCGTTTGACACAAGACTTTGAGTAAAATATAGGAAGGAGCATCATAATGTTTCCCGCAAAGTTGTTGTTTTTGATTCCCGAAAGAATACAGCCAGTTAAACAATTAATATAAATTCCTTATATTACTTATTCAACAAACGATTTTTGTCAGAAAAAAAATGTGTTCTCTTGGGAAACTCACCCTCAGTCAGATTGCAGTATCTGATAAGAATAACAAGCCAACTTGGTATTTTCGTTGTTTTAAAAATATTATAAAACATTACAATTTTTTTTTTTAACAATTCTTTGATATGAAAAAAAAAATTAACTGATGATAGCGTTTCTTTGATTACATAGAGAATGATGTCACAACTAAAATCCATAACAACAGGACCAACATCGGAACGTTTCCGTATTTCCGTTTCTTTTTCAAGTTTCTGAGTTAAAATATGCTTGAATTCAAAAAATAATTTCCGCAGACAACTGCCTCGTATTATATATGTAACACTCCCAAACGTGTCCATCCCCCCAAACGTGTCCATTTCCCCAAAACGTGTCTATTTCACCCAAACGTGTCCTCAAAATCCCAAATGGCCCCCAAACGTGTCCATTTCCCCAAAACGTGTCTATTTCACCCAAACGTGTCCTCAAAATCCCAAATGGCCCATATGTGTCCAATTTCACTTCCCCAAACGTGTCCGATAATTGTCATTCGCCAAAATGTGTCCACTTTAAAACACCTGAACGTCTCAAAACTTTTAGCGCTAATATGTCCTCAATGAAGTCGATAACGTCTATGGCAATTCAATTCTCGGAGATACGATTTAAGATGTCGGGTTTCGATTATATCCTATAAAAATATTAAAGCTGCATTCAAAAGACATAAATGCTGAAGTATTTTGGCACAATTACTGGAAATTAACAAAGGAACAGAGTTTAAAGAAGAAAGTCCAAAACGTTTTGGGGATGGACACGTTTCTGAGTGTTACATATATAAATATGCTGTAATTTGTAAACAGGATATCGACTTATCGTCAAGTATTGTAAAGGTTTGCAGACTTTGTCACCCTTCACAGGTATTAACACCTGCCTCATATCATAATAGATTGTGAAATTCGTGCTGTATAAATTAATCAAGTTTTTAGTATATATGTCTCTGGTGGAGGATTAGGAATTTAATTACTCCCAACTTGTGGAGGTGTGCCTTTACTGGCACAACTAATGCCCAAGTAAGACAGATTCAGGTGGCCAGTAGTGAGTACTGCCAGTAGGCTCGCTGCGCCAGGGTTCATGATGCAATTTTTGAAGGAATATCTTGTTCTACTGTTAGAAAAGACGATAAAATAACAGTGAGAAAACTGTCAGTTGAAATAAATTTACAGTTTCATTTAATACCTATTGTCTATTGATTTTGTTTGGTTTAGCCGGGTTCTCTATTTTTTCAGGTAAAAGCACTTAGAAGATCAAGATTTCGATTCAGTTTTTACCACAAGTTTTACAGACCATTAAAAAATATCAAAAAAAGAAAAGAAATTACTATTATTCTTTATACCTGGATAAAGAAAACCATTCTCTCAACCTTATTCCAAAATATTTCGAATTGTTTTAAAATGTTAACTTCCGTTTCGAAGTCTTTAGACTAAGGTACAGACAAAGATGGCAGCGGTTGCTGGCAGGCTCTCGCGACAAGCTCTTTTAAAGACAAAATCATTGACAAATACACAACAGGTATTGAAATCACTATGCAGTCATAACAGTTATATTCATATCTTTAAGATGTGGAAGTTATTTGCTTGTTTAAGCTTGAATTTAGGAGAAAACAGCAATTGTTTTTCAAGGTGAACTGATTGACAAGTTGTGTAACCCAAGTTGTGTAACATAAAACATGTTACTTAATCAATTTTGGATGTCTTACTGAAAAGTGATCATATATATAATGTTTGTTAGAAGTTAGGCTGACTGGATTTCAGCTTTCTCAAGCAAGTGGTTCTTGCGGATCTTATAAATGTCACTTTGTTGCACCTGTGTCAGAGTTTTTTCTACACTATGGTATATGAATATTTCATTTACACTTACATCTTCAATTAATATGTACAATTGAGAGTGAAAACAATCCAGATTTATGAGTAAAATATCTACATCCAATCATTAGTTTACTACTTTATTTAAAGTATAGTTAGTTGTTTTGTTGTGTATCTGTTTTTTATGCATCTTTAATCAATATGAAATGTTCTTTTACAAAAGCCTTATGGGGTTAGTGTCAGTAACACAATATTGGCATTTCCAACTTTCTTTCTCAGGATTAATTTGACGTGTAATAATTTGATCAGATGATGGTCTACTGGTGTTACCTAGACAAGTCGACTCCTGGTCAATTTCCCGTGCAATACACATGCCATGTTAGGGGATGCATTTAAATAGCATTTGTAAATTTAACTTATCAGTATAGTTCGATATCTTCACATATACCATGCCGAAGTTTAAGCTTACACATCACGACAACCTAGAAATCATCGCTTTGTATAGACAGAGCTGGCCAGTTCATGCCATTGTAAATAAATTAGCTGCCCGAGGTATAGATGTTACATGGGGGTACCGTTAAACATGTCATCAAAAGATACCAAAGCGGCAAGGTAGGCTACGAAAATTTGAGCAAGGAAGAAGAAAAACTACCAACTTTCAAATATATCACTGATCATGACGTCCACTTTGTAAAGAATGCACTAGCAAAAAAACCTACTCAAACGTCTACCGATATGCAGCGTCTTATAGTAGACAAGGGTTCACACACAAGCAAATCAACTGTCCAAAAAGTCATTAAAGCAGCCGGTTATACAGCTTCTTCACCTAGATATGGACAGATGGTTCGAGAACCAAACAAGTTAAAACGGGTTCTGTTTTCTAAGGCCTTCATTGCCGACAATGATAACTTCGACAATGTAATCTTCACTGACGAATGTTCCTTGCAGTTATTTAATTTATTTAATCTTTTCTCATCTCCACGATCCTGTCTTTATTCGGACACCTTCTTTTAAGTTAAGTTCGGAAATACCCATCCCCAAGAAATTGAAAGCCAAATAATATGATTGAATACCCTCCCCCGCTTCCGTTTTTCTTAAATTTTACGAGTTATTTTAGTTTTAATGAATAATTTAAATACATTTTTTTTTTAAATCGGCAAATCATGGTTAATTTGAATTCAAACAAATCAACATCAAAACTGAAAACATTCGTGTATTGATTGGCACAATTTGTAAAAATTGTTTATAAAAACATGATTTCATCAAAATTTTAAACATAAAAATCGAAAGACAATATCTTTGTTATAATACGAGTGTCAGCAAATTTGTTAATTCCATTACATGTAAATTTATAAATTTTACAAACAAATTTCTAAAATAATACTGGGACATCATATGAAAGTTTGTTTATTTTTTTTATAAATACTAGGATCCGAAACATGTTCATGGCTTTATAAATATTGTAATAAAAAAAAAATAATTGTTTAAAAGATTGACGGGAAATGTGTTTAAATAGTAATTAAGCATTAGTGATCTAGCTGACCAAAATATTACACTTGTGAGTAATAATTGACAGGTATAAACATTGATGAATAGATGTAGAGGCTCCGGCGGGGAACGTAATGTCGAATGGAAAATGATAGTTTAATTAATATGTTTATAAACTTTAGACATACTACAATAAACTATTGAGACTTTTTTTATGAATACTAGGATCCGATACATGTTCATGGCTTTATAAATATTGTAATAAAAAAAAAATAATTGTTTAAAAGATTGACGGGAAATATGTTTAAATAGTAAGCACAAGTGATCTAGCTGACCAAAATGTTACACTTGCGAGCAATGATTGACAGGTATGAACATTGATGAATAGATTTAGAGGCTCTGGCGGGAAACATAATGTCGAATGGAAAATAATAGTTAAATTAATTTGTTTATAAACTTTAGACATACTTCAATAAACTATTGAAACTTTAATACGGGATCAATTTGTTAACTGACCGCATAAAAATGAAAGGAAGAAAGACGATTGAAAACTGTGTGTTTCTGTTAAGAGCAAAAAGGAATAGGACGTTAAAAGGGGGAAATATTATAACCATCAATTAACAAAGACTCGTATAATTTACGGGATTGATGTCTCAACATTTTTATGAAAACTTCAATTGAAAATCGTCCTGGTTGTTATTATTTTGAATAATATGAAATATTTACAGTTAGCAATACATTGTTAAAAATCGTCTTTCTTTCATTTTTATAACAACTTCAAATACATGTAAAAGTTGATCTCTTATTAAATTTTCAATAGTTTATTGTAGTTTTATTCAATATTTTACATGTATCTATCCTCCATAAATAATAAAATATATGTACAGGTAAAATTTAATTCTAATCAAGCTAGTACATATTTACGACCTTCCACTGATATTGCACAGGTAATATCACAGCAGGTGTTAATTACACTCAGACAACTGTCAGACCAGTCAGACATCTAGACGGAGTCAAATCAAATGTTAGAGATGTGGTTTTTTTATTTTCTGATGCATTCAGACAACTTTTCTACAAATTCCATCAAATGCATGAAAACAAAGGGTCTGAGACAGGGGTGTTTGGGAGGCAGGAATCAAGCATTCATTTTTATGGCTACATGTATCCAAATTATCCAGATTAAGAAAAATATATCATCCTTATTCAAATTCTTGAAATACACTTAATTTCTGTCAAAGGTTTTTGTAGGGAGGGGGGGGGGGGGGGGGGGGGGTAAAAAGGAAATGCACTTCATCTAATTTTTCTCTGCAAAGTTTGCTGAATTTTTCAGTTGCTAAATTCTTTGGTTTGCTGTACATCCCTTTTTTAATAGCAATGTGCACCAATTCTAATTTTTCTAAGAAGTGATCTCTACTATGTTGGCATTTCAAAGCTCATGAAAGCTTTATTTAAGTCAAATGATGAGCAAATTTTACTATAAAATCTGAGTTTCAACTGTGTTATTACTTGTTAAAATTTACATGATCCAGTTGATTTAATATTTTGCATTTTTAAGTATTTTTAGTGAATCCTCAAACACAGTATACACTGTAGGATACTGAAAGTGAATGCAAATTAAATAATGTTTTTAGTTTAATTAATGATTGCAGCCAGCAAGAGCTCTTCTGTGAATACACATTTTCTAATCAATTGCTGTCTGTCATCATCCGTTAACTTTTACAAAATCTTCTCCTCTGAAACTACTGGGAAAAAATTTAAAAAAACTTGGCCTCATCATTGGGATATCTTGTTTAAAAAGTATGTCCAATGTCCCTGTCTGTCAACCAAGATAGCCAACATGGCTAAAAATAGAACATATGGGGTAAAATGCAAGTTTTGTCTACTTTTTGAAAACCACTATAAGGAGAGAAAATCTGACCGGGGCAGCAATGTTCAGAATGTTGAGCTCTATCTATTGTTCACAGTTAAAACTGTCAAGACGACTTCTTATAGGAGTTATTGCTCTTAGATGAAATTTTACCATTTTTAGGCATTTTTGCCTATCTATAATAATCTTTCTTGTAATCTATAAAAGATGGAGAGAAACCTTAACAAGCAAAAATGATCAGCAAGACAAGATATACTGTCAGGATGGCCAAAATCGTCAGATGACTCCTTATTAGAGTTATTGCCCTTCAATGACAATTTTTACCAATGTTTTTATAAAAATAAGGAGATGTGTTATGATAGCCAATGAGACAACTATCCACAAAAGTTCAAATGAAGTGGATGTTAGCAATCAAATACAACTGTATGGCCTTCAACAATGAGGCCCGACATGAAAAATATGAATCAATTCAATTGAGAAAACTCACTGCCTAATATATAACAAAACAATTAATGAAAGACCTGAACCAACGACAACCACTGAACTACAGGCACATAAAGAATGTGACAGGGTTGAATATTATCTTGAAAACCGCTATGAATAGATAAATTCTGACAGGGCTGAAATGTTAAGAATGTTGAGATCTACCTGCTCTGCGTTGATGTCAAAACTGTCAGATGTTTTCTTGCAGGAGTTATTGCCCTAAAATGTAAAATTTTACCTTTTTTTTTCATTTTTAACTGGATTTTCGAAGGAAAAATCGGTTATTGATTTGGTTATTGATTTGGGGATGTACATGTACAGCGGGCGGCTGCCAAACAGTGCATAAAAAAGACAAATGTAGATAGACACTTTTAAAAGCAAAATTGATCAGCAGATCAAGATCTACAAATATGTCAACAAGACTAAAATTGTCAGTTAACTCTTTATAGAGTTATTGCTCTTTATAGAGTTATTGCTCTTTATAGAGTTATTGCTCTTTATAGAGTTATTGCTCTTTATAGAGTTATTGCTCTTTATAGAGTTATTGCTCTTTCATGATGATCTTTACCAAAAAGTGGCCATTGTTGAAGATGCAGATGAGTGACACAGTCACACAGGCTCTTTAGTATCTTGTATCAATTCGGTATGGGTTTTGTTCATAGTTGAAGATCGTATGGTGACCTATATTTGCTAACCTTTTAAGTCAGTTGGTCTCTGATGGAGAGTTGTCTCAGTGGCAATCATACCACATCTTATTTTTATTTGTGTATGTTCTGTAACAAAATATTTACGTATAGCAACTACGTGTATTATTCTAAAATGAATTTTTTATTTCAGGCAAGCTTCAGTTTCAAATCAGCATCAAGAGGGAAGAAAGCTGTAAGTTGATTATGAGTACAAATAACTTACATTTTATTGTATTCCATTTTATGTAATTAAAGTTGATTGTTAATACTTGACCAAAATAAATTTTTAGGGTTAGTTACTGATCAATAAACAAAGGTAAGAATGAAACAAATATATATGGAGACATATTAGCAATATTGTAGCAAACACCTAAAAGTTTATTTGATTTAAAAGCTGATCATTTCGTGAATCTGTATTGTACAGTATGTGATTTCATTGTAAATTTGTATTTGATAGGGTTATGGATTAGTTGGGGCAGCTACCGTAGATAGTATTGGAACAGGGAGAAGCATTAGCCTTCCTTGTATTGTATGTGATTTCATTGTACATATATGTGTTTTCTTTATAGGCTTATGGATTTCTTGGGGCAGCTACCGTATATAGTATTGGAACAGTGGGAGAAGCATTAGCCTTCCTTGTATTGGTTGTGATTTCATTGTACATATATGTGTTTTCTTTATAGGCTTATGGATTACTTGGGGCAGCTACTGTAGGTAGTATTGGAGCAGTGGGAGCGGCGTTAGCCTTCCCTGTATTAGCCAGTGAACTAGAGTTACATCCCCCTAAATACAAGTGGAGTCATCATGGAATGTTCAGCTCAATTGACATGAAAAGGTATGGCTCTTATTTAAGAGATTTTTTATGCCCCCACCGTAGTGGTGGGGGCATTAAGTTTTACCCTTTTCCGTCTGTACGTACGTACGTCCCAAAATTGGTTTCCGTTCTCTAACTTGAGTTTGCCTCAACCAAATGTTATGAAACTTATACACAATGCTTATTACCACAAAACACAGATTAATTTTGGTGGCGTCACTTTAACCGTTCTAGAGTTATGCCCCTTTATAAATGCAAAAATTGCAAAATTTTTAATTTCTGTTCTCTAACTTAAGTTTGCTTCAACCAAATGTTATGAAACTTATACACAATGCTTATTACCACAAAACACAGATCAAGTTTGAATTTTGGTGGCGTCACTTTAACCGTTCTAGAGTTATGCCCCTTTATAAATGGAAAAATTGCTAAATTTTTATTTTCTTCTAAATATCAAGTAATTTTTAAAATTGGAGTTATCTTCCTTTGTCCATGATTATAGTTGAATCAACTACAATAAATGCTTTATACAATGCAATGTTTAATTTTGACTTCCACTGATAAAACACAGATCAAGTTGAATTTGGGTAGTGTCACTTTAACCATTATTGAGTTATGCCCCTTTATAAATCGAAAGATTGCAAAATTTTTAGTTTCCATTCTGTAACTTAAGTTTGCCCCAACCAAACATTATGAAACCTATACACAATATTCATTACCACAAAACTAAGATCAAGTAAAAATTTTTTGTTTCTGTTTTCTAACTTTAGTTTGCCTCAACCAAATGTTATGAAACTTATACACAATGCTTATTACTACATAATACAGATTAAGTACGAAATTTGGTGGCGACACTTTTACCATTCTTGAGTTATGTCCCTTTATAAACATAAAAATTGCTGAATTTTTTGTTTCCGTTCTCTAACTTTAGTTTTTCTCAACCAAATGTTATAAAACTTATACACAACTGTTCTAGAGTTATGCATGTTTACAAATAGAAAAATTGCTGAATTTTAAGTTTTTGTTCTCTAAAGTTAGCCTCAACCAAATGTTATGAGACTTACACACAATGCTTATTACCACAAAACTCAGATCAAGTTCAAATTTGGGTAGCATCACTTTTACCGTTCTTCAGTTATGTCCTTTATAACTATATGATATGCAAGCGGGGGCATCATCTGTGTCCACATGTGGACACTATCCACATTTATTTACACAATACTCAGGCAGGTGGCTACTTGAACAACAACTCATAGGAGTTGTTGCCCTTAAATGATGATTTTTAACCAATTTGTTTTTGTTTTGCCTGAGAGGGAAACTAATCTTGTTCCAACAGCTTATGTTTTTGTATATGACTTCATATTTCAGAATATAGAAGAGCTGGATAATTCCTATCTTGTTTACAGCTGTCTTATGATCAGATGTTTATGTCTGACAGTGTCTGTTTTTCTTTAACTCTTGTTAATGACTGCTTCAAAAACTGTTTCATTCTTTTTATGCCAGGCCTAGGATAGTAGAGGGGCATTATGTTTTCTGGTCTGTGCATCCATTTGTTAGTCTGTCTGGACTCTGGTTTAAGTTTTGGGTTATGGTAGTTTACCATGAAGGTGTTTTACATCAACTTGAAACTTTGTACACATATTCATTATGATATGAATTTATTATGCCAAATTCCAGTTTTGGCCCGATTTCACAGTATACTTAACATAGAAATGTGATAGTGAGAAATCAGTACATGCTCTGGTTAAAGTTTTTGGTTAAGGTAGTTTATCATGATGTTTTGGTACATCAACTTGAAACTTCAACACATGCTGTTGTTTGGTTATCTTTTTATACGACCGCAAAAAAATTTTGTGGTCGTATATTGGTATGACGTTGGCGTCGTCGTCGTCGTCGTCGTCGTCGTCCGGCGTCGTCGTCCGAATACATATTGGTTTTCGCACTCTAACTTTAGTTTAAGTGAATGGATCTTTTTGAAATTTGACCATTAGGTTAAATACCACAAAAGGAAGGTTGGGATTGATTTTGGGGGTTATGGTACCAACAGTTAAGGAATTAGGGGCCAAAAAGGGGCCAAAAATGAGCATTTTCTAGTTTCCAGACAATAACTGTGGAACGGTGTATGGATCTCTCTGAAATTATACTACAAGTTTCCATACCACAAAGGGATGGTTAGGATTTGCTTTGGGGGGTTATGGCTCAAACCGTTTAGGAATTAGGGGCAAAAAAGGGGGAAAAACAAGGTTGTCCTGGTTAATGGACAAATACTTTAGTACAAAACATAATTTAAAGCAGTGTAAGGGAGATAAATCAAATACATCATTGAAATTATCTCCCTTACACTGCTTTTAAATTATGTATAAAGTAATGGTTAATGAACAATAAAGATAATCTAAAACAGTGTAAGGGAGGTAATCCAAATACAACGTTTTGGTTACTTCCCTTACACTGCTTTTAAATTATGTTTAAAGAAATGCATATTTATAAAGGAAGACCAGTAAAAATATCTGCAAATGTTTTCATCTTTTTTTTTTACCAAAAAATCCATATGAAAGATTTGACACTATATTTTTATTAATTCTATTATAAAATAGATTAAGTTAGCACTATGGTAAATTTAAATGGGTAATTATGGTTGCCAACTCCATTGGAAATTTGAATTGAGATTATGACCATATCTTGAGGGAAAGAATTTTTTTGGGGGAAAAAGGGGGGGGGGGGATAAAAAGAAATTGTGGGGGGCCAATTTTTCTCATTTCAGATTTCAGAAATTAAAAAGAATTATTCTTCAAATATTTTTTTTTTTTCAAATTTCAAATATTGAAAAATTTCAAGAAGTAATCTTTAATTGCACAGTATGGCGCATTAGATTTGTAAAATCTTTGATCACATTTATTTATTTGTTATGCCGAATCTAACAGTGTATTTAGATTTTTAATTTTGGGTCCAGTTTTCAAATTGGTCTACATTAATGTCCAAAGGGTCCAAAATTTTAACAAAAATTGAATTCTTGGGGTTCTTTGATTTGCTGAATCTAAACATGTGTTTAGATTTTTGATTATGGGCCCAGTTTTCAAGTTGGTCCAAGATAGGGTCCAGTATTTAAACTTTGTTTGATTTCATCGAAAATTGAATTATTGGGGTTCTTTGATATGCCAAATCTAACCATGTTTTTAGATTTTTAATTTGGGTCCCGTTTTTTAAATTGGTCGTCATTGAGGTCCAAAGGGTCCAAAATTAAACTTAGTTTGATTTTAACAAAAATTGAATTCTTGGGGTTCTTTGATATGCTGAATCTAAACATGTGTTTAGATTTTTGATTATGGGCCCAGTTTTCAAGTTGGTCCAAATTGGGGTCCAAAATTAAACTTTGTTTGATTTCAACAAAAATTGAATATATGGGGTTCTTTGATATGCTGAATCTAACCATGAATTTAGATTTTTTATTTGTGGGCCCCGCTATCAAATTGGTTCATATTGAGGTCAAAAGGGTCCAAAATTAAACTTTGTTTGATTTCATCAAAAATTGAATTATTGGGGTTCTTTGATATTCCAAATCTAACCGTGTATTTAGATTTTTAATTTTAAGTCCCGTTTTTTAAATTGGTCTACATTAAGGTCCAAAGGGTCCAAAATTAAACTTAGTTTGATTTTAGCAAAAAATGAATTCTTGGGGTTCTTTGATATGCTGAATCTAAACATGTGTTTAGATTTTTGATTATGGGCCCAGTTTTCAAGTTTGTCCAAGTTGGGGTCCAAAATTAAACTTTGTTTGATTTTAACAAAAATTGAATATATGGGGTTCTTTGATATGCTGAATCTAACCATGTATTTTGATTTTGGACATTGGACCATAATAGGTAAATTAAAAAAAATTCAAGTTCTTAGACCACATTCTTTCTGTGTCAGAAACCTATGCTGTGTCAAATATTTAATAACAATCCAAATTCAGAGCTGTATCAAGCTTGAATGTTGTGTCCATACTTGCCCCAACTGTTCAGGGTTCGACCTCTGCGGTCGTATCAAGCTGCGCCCCAGCGAAGCATTTTATTAGAATATATGACAAATTATGATCATGACCCCTCAGGGCCTGTTTTATGGAAATTGGATATTTGAAGCTAGATTTGTGTCCATACTCTTGTTATTACTTTTTTCCCTCCAACATAGAGAACCAGTATTAGGAACATCTCAAAATTATTTATGTCTATCAGACAGGGTTCACCTGACAATGACCACATTTCTTCATGTTTTCTTAAGTTCAGTGATCAACATTAAGATTTCAGGATCAGTCCCATTTCTCATCTACATGCTATGTAAGTTATAGGTCACCTTCTGTTTGACTGGAAAATCTGTGACTCAATAGTATTTCAGGATACTGAAACCTGAATGATTGTTTAACATTTTAGACTGTATCATGGATCTATAAAGCTACATAAGTTGCTTTGATTACTAAGATATTAAAATGTTGAACTATTCAATATATAATAAATCCATTATTTTATTACAGTGTACGGAGAGGATATGAAGTCTATAAACAAGTGTGTGCGGCATGTCACAGTCTGAAATATTTGGCATACAGAGAAATGGTGGGATCCTTCCTATCAGAAGATGAGGCTAAAGAGGAAGCTAAATCGGTAACAATCATAACACAAAACTAAATGAACAATATGAAAGTTAAATTTTTAAAAACCTTAACTCATGTCTAGAACTCTAGATATTAGAAATTACTGTCTCAACCAATTGAAAATCCACTGCCAGAATGGACAAGTTATTATGATATAAATGTCTAAACATTAAGGTATATGTAGAATTATTTAATGTGAAAAGAGCATTAAAAAATAAGAATGTTTACTAAAGTTTTGCGGTTAGTTGATAATTGATGCCTCCTGTGTAACATTTTCTCTAAAAATCCTCAAAACAGTTATTTTAACATACATTTTGATAGGTAATGGTATGGGATGGACCAGATGATAACGGGAACATGTTTGAACGACCAGGAAAGTTGGCAGACTATATTCCATCACCTTATAAAAATGAAGAAGCTGCAAAGGCTGCCAATAATGGAGCAGTGCCTCCAGATCTTACCTATATTGTCCCTGGTGTAGAAGGTGAAGAAGTAAGTATAATTGGAGCAATGTCTCCTGATCTGATCAAAAGATATATCTCTGTTACCTCTGGACACACCCTGTTTTTTGCAAACAAACCTAAATATTTTATTACCTTGCCCAAAATAATTAAGAAATTGTGTCATCCCAGTAGACTATGAATCCTTTTCTCTGATGACTTAGTTATATTTTGGTAGCAGGATAGCAAAGCTGTAGCGACACATGGAAATCACTTCTATTGTCATTGTCTCGTCATCCTTGTAATACTTTCTTAATTATAGTTCCCTGAAAAACTGATGGACAGAATTCATCCAAATTTGTACAGAATCTTCTGCAAGACATGAAGTTGTGCACCTACTATTTGAAGCTTTCATCTGAGTGGTTTTTGGGGTTTTCCATACCAAAACATATAACAAAGTTATTTCTGGTCAGCAACACACACACACATTTATTTTTTTGACTCCCATTAATTTATATACATGTAACTTTATATTTTATCGTAACTTTAAGACCACTTCTGTAGGTATGTTAGTATTGATGTATGATTTTGTTTCAGAACTACATATTTTCATTACTAACTGGATATTGTGATGCCCCAGCAGGAGTAGAGGTGCCAGAAGACGGACATTTTAATCCTTATTTCACTGGTGGTGTGATAGCCATGGCTGAAGCATTATATACTGACATAATTGAATATTCTGATGGTAAGTATATTGCTTGTGTTGTTTATAGCCTTGTCTAAACTTAAACTGATATTACCTGCTTTGAAGAAATTGTACTTTGTGAGTAATCTTTCATTGGCATGCAAAGGAACAATACTGACATGTCTACTTTACCAACACAAAAACAAATGCATTTTCTTTTTTTATTTGATAACTAAACTTGTTGACAAAAAAGTTGTAAACTTGCTACTTTCTTAATGTCAGTAGTAAAAATTTAGGTTAAAGCTCTATATTTCAATTAAAACTCTATTTTGGTTTGCAACAATTACTCTCAAGCCATTTCAGTCTTTAACACCAGAATACAAAAAATAAAGATATGTGGTATGATTTCCAGTGAGACAACTACTCATTAAGACTGAAGGTACAGCAGTTTGCTAATTGATATTAACATTGTATAGAACAACTGTTGTATCCTGTAATGGCAGAGAAATAGGATCAAGGAGTATAGAAGACACTTCAATAATTTCCGTAGTCTTAAAAATGAGAGAGAGATTAAGTTTTGATAAAAAATGCATGAAGACTATATTTTTTTCTTTTTTTTTTTCTATCTATATTCTTACTAGATTGAATTTGAGGACATGAAACATTCAAAATTTAAAACAGAATTTAACAGGTTGCATTTATTAATTTTCAGGTACACCAGCCACAAAAAGCCAGTTAGCTAAAGATGTTGCTACATTTTTAGTGTGGACATCACAGCCAGACTTTGATGATAGAAAGAAACTTGCTCTAAAGGTATTTTTTTTAAATATTTTCTAACTGTTCATTTTTTTTCAAAATAGTGTATCAAAATGAGGAGTGTAATAAGAAATAATATAAAGATCTAAAATTTCGAATAGCGAAAAAAAATCATTCCCTTCAAAATTATTTTATTTTCATTTACCAATATTATGGTTTTTTAACTACAAAAATGTAACGTATGATGTCCCTCTGAAAAAAACAATATAATATTAAAGATTATGTTGAGACTTTGCAAGTCTGATTTTGGTATGTATATATGTCAAAAGGCATAAATAAAAGGAGATGATTGGTGTATAAGTCAATGAAATAGCAACCCAACAATGAAAATGAGCAAAAGACATCTGGAGGAAAACATTCTGTCTTCAACAAAAGACAGATGTCAGTTACTATATATTAAGTTTATTTTGGTATAATTACATTACATGTACGTTTCATTAGAATCTGTAATTTGATTGGCATTCCAATATCAAAGTTTATTTCTGTATAAAATACAACTGCTTTAACTGCATGTGCTATCTATGATAATGAAACAATGCATAGAAAAACCTACGATAAGCTTTATATAACACTTAATTTCATGGTTGTACCATAAAAATGTAATTATAAGAATTGAATGCTTCTTTTTATAATGTTTCTTTGGGTTGTTGATTGTGAGCACATTTTAAATATGAAGCACTTCTACACTTCATACAAAATGTGCTTCTGTCAACGCTTTTACACCCCAATAAAATCTTAAATAGAAGCAATCAGTTCTTAAACATATTTCATATTGGAAAAGAGAAGATATCGTGTATCTATTCATTACACAAAAGTACTACGCTTATTGCTGTATTATATCTCAAGTTCACAACAAGGCCTTTAACCTGGATAGTCTGATTAAGATTTTTTTATTTTAACCTTTGTAAACATAGGAAGTAATCTTTATAATATTGCTGTCATACTTTTAGTTTGTTATTATTAACATTGATTTATTTACTTTCAGATTTTGGGCTTGTTAGGAACAATGTTATTCGTATCATACTATGCTAAGCGACATTATTTCACAGTTCTTAAGGCAAGAAAGATTGCACTACGAGAAGGAAAATAACCTCAAGACGTTGTTAGATGATAAGTTATTCTCAAGGCTATTTTGTGTATTTATGTAAAAAATATGTCCAAAAATGTTTTACTTTAGATTATAAATGTGAATAAAAGAAGCTATTAATGTAACATCAATTAATATAGAATAAATGTTATGGTTTTATCTGAACAAAACTTGTATGTTATTTGAAATGCCCACCATTTATTATATAAACATAGAGTATCCCTTTACATTTAATTAGTCCCCTACCGACAAAGTTGAAGGGGACTTTAGGTTTGCATTCAGTCCGTCTGTCTGTCTGTCCATCTGTCAGTCCGGCAAATCAGTTTTCCAGACTTTTTTCTTCATGCTTGAAGATATTGATTTGATATTTGGTTTATTGATTTACCATGACAAGTTACAGGTCAAGTTCAATTTTCGATTTTAGCTTTTCTCTTTGTTCAGTTAAAGCCCTTTCCCTAGAATTAAATTTATGATGAAAAACTTATTAATTAGTAGATTTCCGTTCAAAGGGAAATAACTCATTTTTTAAAAGACTTTTAAAAGACACAATGACATTTTGGATTTTTTTTCCCTTTTCTTTGGTAAATTGTTTGAAGAATTTAGTGGTAGGTTTGTTTGTCATTCTTGAAGATATTGATTTGATAATAAGTATATAGTTTTGACAAGTTACAGATCAAGTTGGAATTTTGTTCCAGTCTGATAATTTTGTGCAGAGTTATGGTCTTTGGACATGGAAAATTCACTTAAATAATCAGTTTTCAACAGTTTTTTTTGTCATGCTTGAAGATTTTGACTTACTATTTTTATGTAGTATAGTTTACACCATGACAAGTTATAGATCAAGTTAGAATTTCGTTCCATTACAATGAATTTGTAACTGCTAGGGGACTATGTATTGCCATGCAATACTCACAGAATTCTTGTTTTAGTGAATTTAAACATGGGGGTGGATCCAATGTCTGATGAAATGAGATGGGGTGGGGGCTGATAAACTGTCCAAAATGGTAAAATTCCTTGAGAGTTGTGAGGGGAAATATACTTGACTATTGCTAAGCAACAAAAAAAAAAATATTTTTTTTGTTTAAAGAGAGACATGTACCCCCTGAATCCACCACTGGTAAAAGTCTGTCACTTCTGAATACATATAAATAAAGTACTCTTTAAAAAAAAAATTTCATCTGGTTACAATGAAAATTATCAAATTAATATGTTGCATTATTAATGTTGTTGATAAGTCTTATTTTGGTTGCCAGGCTTACATTCATTTTTGTCGAGCCTGCGACTTTTGTCGCAGAAAGCTCGACATAGGGATAGCGATCCGGCGGCGGCGGCGGCGGCGGTGGCGGCGGCGTTAGCTAACTTCTTAAAAGCTTTATATTTTAGAAGATGGAAGACCTGGATGCTTCATACTTTGTATATGGATGCCTCATGTTACGAAGTTTCCGTCAGTCACATGTCCAATGTCCTTGACCTCATTTTCATGGTTCAGTGACTACTTGAAAAAAAAGTTCAGATTTTTTGTAATGTTAAATTCTCTCTTATTATAAGTAATAGGATAACTATATTTGGTATGTGCGTACCTTGCAAGGTCCTCATGCCCGTCAGACAGTTTTCACTTGACCTCAACCTCATTTCATGGATCAGTGAACAAGGTTAAGTTTTCGTGGTCAAGTCCATATCTCAGATACTATAAGCAATAGGTCTAGTATATTCGGTGTATGGAAGGACTGTAAGGTGTACATGTCCAACTGGCAGGTGTCATCTGACCTTGACCTCATTTTCATGGTTCAGTGGTTATAGTTAAGTTTTTGTGTTTTGGTCTGTTTTTCTTATACTGTATGCAATAGGTCTACTATATTTGGTGTATGGAATGATTGTAAGGTGTACATGTCTAGCTGGCAGGTGTCATCTGACCTTGACCTCATTTTCATGGTTCAGTGGTCAAAGTTAAGTTTTTGAGTTTTGGTCTTTTTTTCTAATACTGCATGCAATAGGTCAGCTATATTTGGTGTATGGAATGATTGTAAGGTGTACATGTCTAGCTGGCAGGTGTCATCTTACCTTGACCTCATTTTCATGGTTCAGTGGTCAAAGTTAAGTTTTTGAGTTTTGGTCTTTTTTTCTAATACTATATGCAATAGTTCAACTATATTTGGTGTATGGAAATATTTTATGATCTATATGTCAGTCACGCAGGTTTTATTTGACCTTGACCTCATTTTCAAGGTTCATTGCTCAGTGTTAAGTTTTTGTGTTTTCGTCTGTTTTTCTTAAACTATAAGCAATAGGTCAACTATATTTGTTGTATGGAAGAATTGTTAGCTGTACATGCCTGCCTAGCATGGTTCATCTGACCTTGACCTCATTTTCATGGTTCATTGGTCAATGTTTAGTTTACTTGGTTAATGTTAAGTTTATGTGACAGCTGTAATAAAGCTTTATATTTAGGACTATCAACATAATATCAATGATTAGTAAAGAAGGCGAGACATTTCAGCGTGTGCACTCTTGTTATTTTTGAGGGGCTTCTGTGGATGAGTGATCTAAGTAGTTGAACTACTGTAACACTAGCCTGTCAACACTGAGGTTGTGCGCTCGTCTCCAATCTTAATTGAATAGGATTCAGTTTTCCTACTGAACATTGGTGGTTCTCTCTGGGCACTCTGGCTTCCTCCACCAATAAAAACTGACTGCCACGATTGATTGATTTTTGGTGTTTTTACGCCACTTTTTAGCACCGCTTTTGCGCTATTTCGTGGCGGTCAGTTTTATTGGTGGAGGAAGCCGCAGTGCCCAGAGAAAACCACTGACCTTCGATAGGAAAACTGACAATCCTAGTCAATTAAGATTGGAGTCGAGTGCAACAGCACGAGCAGGGTTCGAACTCACAACCTCAGTGTTGACTGGCTAGTGATTACAGTAGTAACTACTTAGACCACTCGGCCACCGAGGCCCCCTGACTGCCACAAAATAGCTCAATAGTGCTGAAAGTGGCGTTAAACACCAAGCAATCAGTCAGTCAATTCAGTTTCCTGTTATGAGAAATAAATGTGCCTGCGAAAAAATATGAATAACAGACAAAGGGATCACTTCTGTTTTGTTTTTTTTTGTCATCTGCATCACACTTTTAGTAGTTAATCTGCAACTCTTTTACAGCAACTCGACAAATTTAACAAAATTTGCACCAATTCTTCTACAGGACATTATATGATTGAAAATGGGATAATTTAAATATATTCTAATATCTTTGTCATCAAAATTGATGTCTACAAGCATTCATGAAAGTTCATTCAGAAAAGTGCTTGGTATGCAGTAAATTTGTTGTCTAACCAGGTTGCAACATAAAATTTAAGACCTTATAAGAATTTGGAAATAGTGTTGAATTTCCCTATTTATCTTGATTTGATAATGCGAAAGATAAAATAGGGACCTAGATAGGTAATGGTCCGTTTCTGACAGCGGCGTCAACAATGTATTAGTTTGTGATTAGGTCTAGTTCATGGTGAACCACTAGTGGTAGGTCAATGATATTTAATATGCAGTTGTATTAGCATTGGCACATCTCATTACTATGGAGAATATTTGGCCCCGCCCCCTCAGTCAAGGTCTATTGACTTTGAAACTTTGCTTCGTTCACATGTATTAGTTTGTGATTAGGTCAGTTTATGGGGAACCACTTGTGGTAGGTCAATGATATTTGGTATGCAGTTGTATAAGCATTGCCACATCTCATTTCCATGGAGATTATTTGGCCCCGCCAGCTCATTCATGGTCTATTGACTTTGAAACTTTTGCTTCGTTTTCATGTATTAGTTTGTAATTAAGTCAGTTCAAGGGGAACCATTAGTGGTAGGTCAATGGTAATTGTAATGCAGTTGTATAAGCATTAGCACATCTCATTTCCATGGAGAATATTTGGTCCTGCCCCCTCAGTCATGGTCTATTGACTTTGAAACTTTTGCTTAGTTTACATGTATTAGTTTGTGATTAGATCAGTTGAAGATGAACCGCTAATGTTAAGTCAATGATATTTGGTATGCAAATGTATTGACATTTGCAAGTCTCGTTTCCATGGATTATATAGCCCCACCCCCTCATCATGGTTCATTGATTTTGAAACTTTTACATAGTTTACAAGTCAATATTTGTGTTTAGGTTTGTTGAAAGGGAACGACTTATGATAAGTCTATGGTATTTGGTATGCAGTTGTATTAGCATTGGCACATCTCATTTCCATGGAGATTGTTTTGCCATGTACCTTCAGTCATGGTTCATTGACTTTGAATATTTGCATAACTTACATGTTAAAGTATTGCTATTTTAATTTCGACATTTGCATTATCAAATTATTGAACTATATGGCTGGATTTTAACATTGAGTAGCATAGGAGGAACAGCCATCTTTTTTGAAGTTTTTCTGTTAAATGAAGTATTCTAAATGTTTGTTTACATATCCTGAAATTTGAACCCCGAAGGTAGATTCAGATTGTACATTGGAATGTTGCTTAATCTGTTTCTCCAAAAAGGGGGAGGGGATGGAAAGGTCTGCCATCATCATTGTCTAAAAGATATTAATACCAGAACCCCTGATGAGGTTCCTAACCTTAAACATGATCATTTATATGTGATGGTGTTTAACTAGCATTTTGAGTCTTAACTCTGCAGAATGTACATAAAATTCAGTACGGAAAAACTATGTTAAAACAGCATAATAGACACCAAAAATTCAGGCACAGGCAAATTAATAATAAATAACAATGTTTAAAATATGCTTCCATTTACTAAAGCATGTTCAAAGTATACAAAATGAAATGGAATCATTCTGTCCAAAACACTCTCCTGCAGCTGATCTGAAGATTTCATACACTGACATTGTCAACAAAGCAATTTAACTTGATCTCGTGTAATGCCCAGATTATATTTATGGCTATATGATCATTACTTTCTAAAAACAAGATGTTGATGCAGGCAAGGAGTCCAGGACACCAGCAATAGTTGTATCTTAGCAAAACCTAATAAATCAAAAATGTCCACACTGAGTATTGTATCAAGCTGCATGTACACCTTTTAAGGTCTAAGAACAGTAAAATGGGCCAAGTCACAGATGTAAGTAAACTTTTGCATACAACTTTGGCACCTTGAACAAAATAATGCATTTATCTCTTTTATT